CCACCCGATAGAAATGGCTCCCGTGGCGAGCGTGGAGTTTGACGTGTGGCTTAGCGGGGCGCTTGTGTGCCGTTGTTGTCTGCAGGGTGGAAGCGCTGTTTGGGCTGCCCATGGATGAAGGTCCCACGCTGCAGGTGGAGACGCCAGCCGTGACCAGCGTCAAGGCCTGGCTCGAGAGGCTCATCCGCACCCTGGATGGCAGCAAGGACACAAACGCCAACCTCAAGCTCATGTGTAAGCCCGGTGCACGCCACGCAGTCCGCACGGACGTGATGGCCACTGTGGTGGATATTATGGTCATTAGTGATGATGGATATACATGATGGTTATTTTGTGATAATCACAATGATCTTACGATGGTTTTTTATGGCGGTGATGATAGTTATTGGCAATGGTGGTGACAACTTTGATTGATAGTCATGGGTGGTGATGATGTATGTATGTTGAACTTATGTCACACCATGCTAATCAAATTGTGCGGGGAAAGGGACAACTCATTGATGGCTATTCGTAATGATGATAGCAATGAGAATCACAATATAATTGTATCACGAAGATTTCTGATAACAATAAGGAAGGTTAGTCAGTTTAACACGTAGGCTTTCGCGACCAATATCATCCATCAGTTAGACTTCTCCACAAATCTGGCCGTCGCCTGATGAAGCTGGTTGTAATTACTGGCGAAACGTCGTGCTCCGATTGTAAATGTTGCGGCTTGGCTCTCCAACACACCGGTGTGTTGTACTAGTAACGAATTGGCATGTTGTTTACGTGACAACCCTTATTAGTTGGCTGTGTCGGATGGTGGCAGGTTTATTTATATTTACGTGATCTAACCCACCCCCCCCCCCACCCCTATATTATGGATGATATTGTTCGCGAATGCCCTACTACTAGGCGTTCCACCTGAAGGCGGAAGCTTGTGTTGCCTCCGAAACGTCGTGATTTTTATTTTATTTTACTTTTATTAATTTTTATTTTTTACCTACGTGACTTTACCGAAAAGCCTAAGAATATGAATAAAAGTGTCGTGTTGACGATGACGCTGACACGCATTTGTGGCACGTGCAGACGGGCAGCTCGTGACACTCGACCCCGACACGGCGAGCACCAGCCTCCTGCTGTCCCAGGACGGGCGCATGGCGGCCACCAGCTCCCGCCGCCTCTCCTACCCCGAACGGCCCGAGCGCTTCGACCACTGGTGCCAGGTACTGTGCCGCGACCGCAAATCACGCATCCCACACCGAGCTCCTGCGGCCAATTCCTGCCAGGCCAGGGACCACCAGTGACATGGAAAGGGGATGATCCATCACCAGGCAGCCCGTGCTTCCTAATGTCTGATCTTGGCTGCCAGTTTCTCATTGGCGAAAGCTATTTAAACTAAATGTTTTGTTTTTTAAACCAGGTAAGACCCACTGAGTTAAAAATCTCTTTTTCAGATTTGACCTGGCCACAAATGATAGCTTAAACGAAGTTGCTTATCACATGGGAATTTATAGCAGCCAAATACTCATGCAACGTTGATTCTAAATGTTTCTAAAGCTGATCTGAGCTCCAATCAGACAGACTCCACACCACACCCCCAGAATCAAAATCTTTATTTTAGACTGGAAAAATCAGATGAGCTATAAAGTTATTTTTCACGGATGTACCCACCCGCTCGTCTTCCCACTCAAAAGCGTGATGTCTCTCGCACGGCCCCGGGAGCCTTAACCATGCAACAACGGGGAAGCAACTCTCTTGTTATAAATTCAATTATTTCCAACTCACATTCTTTGGTCTTTCGGTAAAGTCACGTCGATAGGTTCAAAGAAAAATAAAACTTCGTTACCGAAAGACCCAAAGAATATGAATTCCTGCAGTCACGAAAGCTTTAAGTCAAGATTTTCCAACTCGTTTTTGTCTTTCTTTTTTTGTTATTTTTTTTGTACATATCTTCGTGACTTTATCGAAAGACCCAAAGAATATGAATTCCTGCAGTCACGAAAGCTTTAAGTCAAGATTCATGTTTGCCTTATCTGCTGGGCCACGCTGTGGACGGTAGATGGCAGTGCAGCAAAAGTGTTGTGTTTCCACATTCATACGTCCACGGCTTCCACCGAGACCGAGCCGCAGACTGATGTGAAGTGCGGTCAAATTACCAGCACAACATTCACGACGTAGGGGGAGGCCCTCATTTCAGTCGTGAATTGACAAAACAGCTGTGTAGGTGGACGTATTTCCTGTAGACGTGCCCTGGTTGCGACAGGCGCACGAGTTTCAGTCGTGTTTTACTTCTAGCGGTGCCGTTTGGCTCTCCAGCAATATTTTCGGGCAGTACCGTTTAACTGCACGTGCTGGAAGCGTCCAGTTCTCCATACCAGTGGGGTAAATTTCACGCAGCTATTTTTTTCAATCCCCGGCAAACGGAGCAAAATGTCGAACACTGTGCCGAACAACACGTGGTGACAACCCCACAAAAACCATATCACCCGAAGCGCATTCGAGCCGTGCTTTTATTTCTGCAATTGTTTTCTGGATGGGGTAAGGATGAACCCGATCATGACTCCATGCCCACGTGCCCCTACCCCCCTCCACAGGTGATGTGCCACCAGGCGTTCGCGAGCGGCCAGCGCTACTGGGCTGCGACCGTGAGCGGCGGGGACACGTGGCGCATCGGCGTCGCCTACGGCTCCATGGGGCGCAAGGGCAGCAGCGGCTCGAGTCTGCTGGGGCTGAACGGCGCGTCGTGGTGCCTCGCGCAAGCCCAGTGCGAGTGCGCTGCGTGGCACGACGAGAAGCACCAGTCGGTGGTCGTGGCCGAGCCGCCACGCACCGTCGGCGTCTTCCTGGACTACGGCGCCGGAGTGGTCACTTTCATCGACGCGGAGCGCATGGCCGAGCTGTACACCTTCCGCGCAAAGTTCACGCAGCCGCTCTACCCCGCGTTCCAGCTCGGTGGCAAGACCACGCTCGTCATCTGTCCCTGAGGGGTCGTCTCGTCGACGTTGCAAGCGGCGCTGCCGAACGCGCTGAGAAGTCGCCAAACGTGATTGGAACGTCGCGAGTTTCCGCGGGTCACTCGTTGCTGTTGGTGGGGTTTTTACGCAGCTTTGTCGCAAGATGCTGTCCACGGGCTTGATTGAGATGATGCGCAAGAGAATGATTGGTTAATGTTCCGAAGTGAAATGATGAATGGAATTGTTTATTTTGTGTGTGATGATGATGGTTTGAGACTTACGTACTGTGAACGTGGGAATTTGTTGACACCATGATTTCAAAGGTCAGCCAGGCAGCGATAATGAAGGTCACACGTCTGAAAAATGCCAATATACAGTGGTCTTCTAACGTAATAAAAGTTATTTGTACATAGTTGTATGCTATATTCCAAGGTTAGTCGTACTTTCTAATATATTTACTCGTGTAAACGCACTTATTGTAGGAATGCTTGTAATAATCCACACTTTTTAAAAGTACAAGCCGGAGTGCTGCATCTCCACAGGTGGAGTTGGTGTGGGTAGTAAGGGCTGTATGATTTAATATTTTCCGACGTCCTCCAACTTCGCTCCACCACAACCCAACAGAGGGCGGAGAGTGGCAGGGACATTTTTTTCCAGAGCTCGGCCCCGGGCAGCTCCGGCGCAAAAACACATTGTCCTGCGTGGGGGGAGCTGGTAGGAACGTTGGGTTGCTGTCAATGGCCAGGGTCAACGGCGGCGTGGTGTATTCCGCAAATATGCCCGACTGAGGGCGGGCACAAGCCGGCGTGAGTAGGTTAAACATTGAGTTTTATAAGGGCACCACGGGGTGACCAGCCCCACCCAGCCCCCTCACCCCACCCAGCCCCTCCCTGCACGACGGACGGACACAATAATCCCCTGTGGGCTGGTGTAACCAGGAGGTTCCTACCAGTATAAATCACCCTGGGTATGCGCAGGTGGCTGGGGTCGTCCCACGCCTGATGCAACAACAAAAGTGCTTACATGGCGTCATCACGGTATGCGGTTTTGTATTTTTACATAAAATATAACCTAAATTAAAATATATTATGGAGTAAATGTATGCATTGTTTGAACTGTATGACCTTGAAGGTTCTGTATAATGAGCAATTGTGTAATGCACCTCGTATCTACAAATACCTTTTGAAGCAACGTGATGTTGCGTGTTTCAAGTGCCTATTCCTTTAACATGCACTTACTTCAGGGCACATTTCCATCGTTTTTGTAACGCAGACGTTTTTTTAAACAAGTGAATCTCATGCCCAATGCGAACATATTTAACCGTTAATGCAGAAAGGCCGAATCAACATCATGTGCCTGGCACTTCCCACCTTTTTTATTAGCAACCTATAACCTATTTTATTACCAGGTAAAGCCCACTGAGCTTTATAGCATGTTTTTGAGAAGCGACCTGGCCACAAATGATATCTCAACGAAAGTGGCGAATCACGTGGAAATGTATAGCAGTGAAACGTGGAGGGAAAGAAAACGGAGGACCCGGAGAAAACTAAAAAATATGCAGACGTCAGGTTCAGGGATCGAACCCACGGCCCTCGTGCATGCGAGGGTGGTAACATCTCGCTCCCGTGGCGTTCCCTTCCCACCGTGTTTTAAACCGACGATTGGGTGTGCGTCTGGTAAACCGGGAGTAGTTTGCGTGACCAGATTCGCCTTTGACAGGCGTCTTATAATCGGGAGAATGTGTTATCATCGTTGATGCGGTGGGTGCCTTGTGCTGCTGCAATTTGGTGTAGCGTTGCTTCAGCAGCAATAATTTACTTGAAATAGATGGGGAAGTTTGTGGAATAACCTTGGAAGAGGTTCAATTATATTTCTCTGGATGCGAACTCTTTGCCCGGTTAGTGAAAATTGTATTTACACTTTAGGGTCAAAATGTGAACAGCTATTATCAATCAGTGGTGTAAATCTTTTGCCAAGTAATTTAACGGCACGTCGATTGTATGTTATGTTCTGACAGGCGTCATGGATTTTAAAGTGCCAATGATAACACTTTTGGCAGGCTTGTGTTGTGTGAAATCCAGTTGAATTCACAGTTAAAACATCTTTATTCATACTTGAAGTACATCAAAGCCCATCGTGACGATATAATTGTGAAATTGAATTACAAAAGGATAACCGATATCGCGATCATCGTGAAAACTTGTATCGTTGAGCGAAATCGGCGGCAAATCTTAACGCATTCGGTGACGCTGCGTTGGTGGTGGTACAAATGCAAAAATAACAAACTCAACACGGTCGTCAATAACTGTGGCATTAAAAAGTAAAAAAAAATGTAACGGACGACATTTCAGACAATCGCCCTTTAGCTATTTTTTTTTATCAAGTTACGTTACAGGTACGCATTTATTGGGTTAGGATTTGGTTTCAGGAATAACGCAAGCTCCCTCCCCCGCGTCAGGGGTCCGGTCTAGTCCCAGTCTTTGCCTCTCAACCCATGGTACGAAAGACCTACACATTTTCATTCAAACACAATCTATCCACTGTTGGACGAAGGCATCCCCCCCCCCCCCAAGCCGTCGGCATCTCTCGCGGTCTCGCGATGATGCAAACGCCCGACAGTGGCTCTCTTCGTTTTTGGGGGGTTTGGTGGCCCCTCAATCAATCCGCGCTCCCAAACCGCCCCCTCTTGGGTTACCAAGTCTACAGGGTGGTCCAGATGTCTTGTGAGCCCCCCCCCCCATAACTAATTGACCCCCCAAACATGTTTTTGTTCCTTTGCATATTCATTTCTGTTTTAAATCAATCTTACTTAAAAAAAATATATTAAGTTTTTGAAAATTAAATGGTCAATCACAAGCCATCTGGGCCACTCTGAGAGATAACATTGCCACACTTAACAAGGTGTTAGAAAGGCATTTGTTACAAGTGGGAGACACAGCGGTAACCCTCATGCCTCAGCAAGCGCGTGGGTTTCCTATGGCCCCTGTGTGGAGTGTGTTTTCGTGTTACAGCCCACAGCTAAAGCAATGTAACCGGTATTAGCCAAACATCGAAATGCAGAAAATCGCCCAATTCATATTACACAGGAACATCAATAACTTGACGCGACTAACGAAAACATTTTGAGACGCGGTGAATCTTTGCGCTCACGTGACACGGCCAAGAGGCAGAGGAAACAAGAGAGCAAGAGATGTGGTGAATAAAAGTTGGAATCAACTCAAAGAGATCGCCACACGTTAACAACTTGGAACGACAACCTTGTCGCCGCAACGCGTCACCGAATTTTCACACCACCCCACGCACACATTCAAAACTTTCTCTTTCACGGTTTCACCAGAACGCTGGATGGAGGCTGCAACCCCATGGCCGGCCGCGAAACAGGCTTAAGAAGGAGCCGACCTAAATTAAAAACGAAAACCATCCGCAACACATCACCAAACAATACAAAAAAACTGTCCAAAGCCTTCAAACATTCGCGTGGTTCCCAAGTGCCACCACGTGGGCGTCTCCCTCCGTCTCGGCTCCACGTGGTTCTTGCCGCCCCGCCCCCTCGTGGTGGTCACGTGGTTCTTGCCGCCCCGCCCCCTCGTGGTGGTCACGTGGTTCCTGGGCGTCTCGTGCCGCCCTGAAGCTGAATCGCACACACGGCGACAAGATGGGGATTAAGACGCAAGACGAAGACGAATCCACCCCCCCAACACACACACACGTGTTGTTAGCATGTAACAAGACTTGTTGGGGAGGCAAGTTGCTGTTGGCGAGTGGCACACGAGGGGGTGGCCGCCGCCACCACGCCCGGCCGCCACCACGCCCGGCCGCCTTTGTCTCCCCACCAGTGGCGACGTTTTTACACACCGCAAACCGTTTGAGGCCGAGTCGACCTAGAGGAGGCAGCCCAGCACCCGGTTCAGATTGACCGTCATTGGTGCTGGTGGCCGTGAGCTGGAATCGAACGCGGCTTGCCGTGTTCGGAGGGCAGCGCGCTAACCGTTGCACCACCGCTCCCCCAACTTTCCACAGCAAAGTGTTGTTCACTCATTTTCGGAGGGTAGGGGAGACGCTTTCACCGATCAGACATCACCCTTAGATGTCAACCCATAGATGTCAACCTATACGGTTTACCCCGTATTCTTGTACAGGGAAATTTTATTTTCAGGTCCATACGGCGTACAGCCGTTTCATAACGGGCAAAAATAATGATGTTTGTGTCTATTTGTTAGTGTTTCTCCATTGTCATGGGACTTTGTAGGATGAAAGTTGAGATGTATAAGGGGCACGGGGTGACCAATAAGGTCTGAATTGGTCTGTAATAAGGTAGGGCACTGATAGGGGGTTGACAGGTACGGTCACGAATTTTGTAGGTGGGGGGGGGGCGCCACACGTTTGAAATGATTGGGGCTTGACAGCATCACGATGATGATGATGGGGGGGGGTTTAACATGTAGGGTTTCACGACCTCTTACTCGATCTAATCCAAAAACACCTCTATTATGGATGATGGGGGGGGGGGGGGGGTTGGCCGCACTAAAGGCCACCAAGGGCCCACTAGTGGCCCTGCGGCCTTGCGATGAAGAACGCCGTTCTACAGCGTGGCCACGGTTTGCAACACTTGGCCTGCACACAAATAAACCCACAACACTCTCGGTAGATAAGTGACCTGGAGAACGGCGCGAATATCGACTGAAAGCTTATGGGGGGAAAATAACGTTCAAACATGCATAAAGATATGTACGAACCCTATTAATAATGAACAAAACCAATATTAATAATGCAAATACAACAATGAGTAAATGTATGCGTGTATGTATGTTGAAAATGTTTCGCACCGTAGAAGCCAACCGCGTTTATAACATGATTATAATAAATTTAGATTTAAAGCTTTCGTGACTGCAGGGATTCATCTTCTTGGTTCTTTCGGTAAAGTCACGTAGAAGGGAAATAATAAAACATAATAAAATAATTCTCACGACGTTTCGGCCACAACGCAAGCAGCCATCCTCAGGTGAAGAACAGGTCTGTCGGGAAGACAGCGGATGAGTGCGACAGCGTCTTTCCGACAGACCTGTTCTTCACCTGAGGATGGCTGCTTGCGTTGTGGCCAAAACGCCGTGAGAATTATTTTATTATGTTTTATTATTTGATTATGTCCCTTCTACGTGACTTTACCGAAAGAACCAAGAAGATGATTATAATAGGCTAATATGTAAAGTTACCTTTAATGATGATGATGATGGTGACGTGAGTCCTTCTTGCGGATCATCACGGGAAGATCCCGGGGAGGAGCGGGGCGATCCTGGGTCCAGCTGGAGGTGCCGGGCAGTGGCTCGCCGAGGATGGTGGTGGTGGTGCTGTCGCAGACGGCGGATGAATGCGATTGAAAGTAACTTGCGATTGGCATCCGCTTCGCCTTCCTCCACAGGTCCTTGTAAACCTCCCGGTAGGGATCCAACACGGCGTCCATCTCCCTCTTGAATCGCACGCTCCGCTCCACCAGCGGGTCCGCCTCGAACACTTTGTCCTTAAGTTCCGACGCCAGTTGCATAATCTCTGCCAGCGTTTTCAAATTCAGCCGAGACTTACCGCTCGCATAATCCTCCTCTTCCCCATCATCACCACTCTCGCCATCGCCTGCCTTGATGCGTTCTTTAAGGTCCTCCTCCTCCTCGGTGCGCGACTCTATGAGCACAACGAGATCAGCACCTTGCAGATCCTCGTGCGCTTCCTCCGCACCGGCGGTCCTGGCCACCCCGGCAAGCCGACTCGGGTCGCCGTGGAGCGACGACGGCGAACCGGGCACGTCGCTGGCGCAGAGGAGGCTCGGTCCGTCGTCGTCGTTGGGCGCCTTCGATCCCGAGCGTTCCTCCTTGGAGATGTACGTCCTCGTGGGCATCTTCTTCCAAAACAAGCCCAGCTCGTCCACGTCTAACACCTGTCCGGGTTTGCAATCCTCATCCTCCTCGTCCACCACCTTCTTATGGCACACACGATAAGCCGCTTCATCAGCCACGGTATCCATCGACTCGCCGACCAACTTGACGTTTTGTAGCGAATATCGCTTCTTAAAGTTTTCGAACCATCCCTTACTCGCCGCAAATGGGGTGCGTGACTTCTTACCGCTGTTGTTGCTGCTGCTGCTGCTCTCGCCGCAAGAACTTTGCACCGAGCGCTCGTAAAACCGCAGGGCCCGGTCACGAATATCCACGCCGCTCAAGGGGACACCCATCCGCGTCTGATCCTCGATCCAGAGATTCAGGGCCCTCTCCATCTTCTCCATGTGCGGGTCGCGGGTGTAGAACGACGCTCTCGCGGACCTGGGCACACATTCGCTCACGCTGGCACGGATGGCCACCTCGCTCTTCTTGATGTATCGCACCGTCGACTCGTTGACGCCGTAGAGACGACCCACCGACGCGGCGCTCTCACCCCGGGCCAGGCGGTCCAGCAAAGCGACCTTTTCACTCAGGGGCATGATCTTTTTCGCACGCTTCACCCGCTTCTTTGCCACCCTGTCGCCTCCCTTGCGCTTCGGGGCCATGGTCGACGGGGGTCAGGGGTCGGGCGGGGGACGAGTTTCAAAAAGGCAAAACAATGAATGCGTTCACAACTTCATCTTGCGAACGGTGCGGCTGGAGGTAGAGAGATAGAGAGAGCATCGTCCCACGAGTCACTGGCAGCACGGGGAACTCGATTGTCTAACACGCCGGGTCAACGATGTGCAGTCGTTCAACGCGGTTTTCAAAAGCACCTAAAACGCGGTGAACATCACATTAACATCTCCCCCACCACCACCGTTGTAGAAATGCTTCCCCATTCCGTAACGACAAGGCATGAAAGTATCGTCAAAGAGGAGGAGGAGGAGAAGCTCGCAACGACACCCACTGATTAGCCACGGTGGGTGCAGCAGCAGGAGCAGCAGGAGGAGCAGCAGCAGCACCGGCGGGGATTGCGGTGCCCGCGTGGGGGCCCGGGCGGCGGGCAGGCGGCAGGGAGACGTGGGGGACGAGGGGGTCGGCATCTTGCCGCCCTCCTCCTCCTGCTGCTCCTGCTGCTCCTGCCATGCGCGTTCGGGGAAGGCGTCGCACCCGGCGCCGATTCGCCGCCTCTCGGATTTCCGTGGAGAGAAGACGACGACAACAACAACAACCACCACCAGTCGCCCTAAGGTCAAACAAACAAAAAGGAAACTCGCTGAAACAAAAAGGCGCGCACGCCGCCAGCGTGCGCGGGACCCGAGGGGGGTGTGCGCGGGGCTTGTTTTATTTGTGTTGCTGGTGACTTTGTGTATTTCGAATCGAAATCGCCTCCAGTGCTGTTGCTGCTGGCGGCAATAAAAGTTGTGTAAAAGTCAAAAGTCTCTCTCTGTCTCTCTCTCCCTGTCTCTCTGTCTCTCTCAATGTCTCTGTCCAATAAAAGTTGTTTCATGTCTCTCTGCCTGTCTCTCTCTGCCGTCTTGCACCGTGGCGGCGTGCAGGCCCCGACGGTGCCCCCCCCCTTGACCCCCACACCCCCCCTTGACCCCCACACCCCCCCCTTGACCCCCACACCCCCCCCTTGACCCCCACACCCCCCCCCTTGACCCCCACACCCCCCTTGACCCCCACACCCCCCCTCATTGAGGGGCGGGCGCGGCGGCCGAGGAGGGAGGGGCCGAGTGCTCGTGACCACGCCCCCTCCCTCCCACCGGAAGTTCGCCCCCTCCCTCCCCGCAAATTCTTCGCATTTCTTTTAAACATTCAGATTAGCATCTCGTAGTAAGTCGGCTTTCTCCCCACCAATATCATCCATAATACACGTTTTATGGGTTAGATCGCGTAGATATATAAATGTGTCGTTAAACCCGCCACAGCCAACTAGTAAGGGTTGTCACGTCAACAGAACGTGGCCAATTCGTCACTAATACAGCACTAGTGTGTAGTGTAGTGTATAGTGTAGTGTATAGTAGTGTATAGTGTAGTGTATAGTAGTGTATAGTGTAGTGTATACAGTAGTAGTGTAGTGTATAGTGTAGTGTATAGTGTAGTGTATACAGTAGTAGTGTAGTGTATAGTAGTGTATAGTGTATAGTAGTGTAGTGTATAGTGTAGTGTATAGTAGTGTATAGTGTAGTGTATAGTAGTGTAGTGTATAGTAGTGTAGTGTATAGTGTAGTGTATAGTAGTATATAGTGTAGTGTATAGTGTATTATACTAGTACAGCACCACCGCCGTGTTGGAGAGCCAAGCCACAACATTTACAACGTTAAATGTTGACGTGACAAACCTTACTAATTGTAATTGGCTGTATCGGGTGGTGGCTTTATTTTGGTGATTTCGAAAAGTGTATTGGTTTAGCCATGTTTGTGTTGTTGTAGTACAGAGTTAGACTGATGGCCTTAATCTAAGCTGTCTTGTGGTTGTTGTTGTTTGACTTGCATCCCACTGAGATTTTTGCACACAGCGTTGGTGTACGGTGTTTTTTCTGCAATATTTTTGCTGTCTTTTCTTGAATTTTCTGTTTGCACTTAGTCACATATTCACTTTAAGATGTTTTTTGTTCATGTTTTTGTTTTTTGTTTGTTGCGGTTGCACCCGATTCAAGAGCTGAATGGCTCACAGGGCTATGCCTAATAAATGAACTTGAACGACACACATGTACGCGATCAAACCAAAAGACAAACGTTTTATGGATTGTTGTGTGTATATTCTATATTTTCCACACTTTTCTCAACCGCCGTTCAGAAATAACAAAAATCCTTGCGGGGATCGATTCAACAATCATTTCTCGTGATTATCGAGAGTAGTCGGCAGAGGAGAATGTTGATGGAGCAGCCTGAACACGACAACGCAAGTCTTGTTTGCCGTATAGCAGCAAAGCCCACGGCTGATGACGATTGGGCTCGCTCTGCGAATCCAGAGGATTTGGACTCGTGGCCCTAACATCGACTTGGGGAGGACGGTTTAATCGATTATTAATTATTCAACGGATCGATATAAATATTGACCGGTCAATATTGATCCTTTTTTTTGGTCAAACCTGGCGACAAGGTCAATTAAAGACTGATATTAAAAAAACATTTGCTGAAACAATTTTTTTTCTATTTTTTTACTTTTTAAGAGGGCCCCGGTGTTACGCCACACCGGGTTACCACCAATATGTCCAAATATGGAAGTCGCTCCGCCCCTCTCCCTTCCCCCTTGTGATTGGTGAAGGAGGATGACCCCCCTGTGTGACCCCCCCCCCGTGCCCTCCACTTGTGATTGGTGAAGGAGGGTGCCCCTCCCCCCTGTGTGACCCCCCCCGTGCCCTCCCTTGTGATTGGTGAATGAGGATGCCCCTCCCCCCTGTGTGACCCCCCCGTGTCCCCCCTTGTGATTAGTGAAGGGGGGTGCCCCTCCCCCTTAGGATTGGTGAAGGGGGGGTACTGTATCCCCGTCCCCCTTTCCGTTACAGGCCCCGCCCCTCCGGCGGAAGCCACGCCCCTCAGGCGGAAGCCACGCCCCTCAGGCGGAAGCAACGCCCCTCAGACGGAAGCCACGCCCCTCAGACGGAAGCCACGCCCCTCAGGCGGAAGCCACGCCCCCAGCCAACATCGACTCGCGGGCCAATCACCGTGCGAGGCTTTGTCCGGCTGGAGGCGTTCGGGTTTCTTGGGTTTCAATGCCGTGGCACGTGGTGTGTGGTGGTTCCAGGCGGTCACTAACAGCACTTGCAGCAGCGAAAACAACAACAACAACCTGTGTAAGCTACGCGGATATCTTTGTTTTGTTCTTTGCCAGCTGTGTCAAGATCGTGAAGGGCAGTTGGAGGCAGTCGCCCTCGCCATCAGCAGGGGGGGGGGGAGCGACGCTCACAACAACAAGCGGAGCGCCCGGCGATTAAACACGCAGCGAGGTTGTGCAGTGGGGAAGCTCAGTTCGGGTGCATCTGGAAATCTTCTCGGTGAACCCATGGCACCGGGCTCTGCCCCGTGACCTGTCGGCGAGCCGACCACACTTCACGTGGTCTAGAAGTGCACCTAGCCTGGCACACGCGCCTCGGTGACGCCACCGCCATTTCGTGGCGAATCGGAGCAGTGGCGCAGTAGTCGGCGCTCTGCGCTCCGAATCCAGGTGACCCGAGTTTAATTCCTACTCACGACCATCACCGGTGGCGATTGTCTCAACTGATTACGGGGCCTCCATTGAGTACTTAGAGCAGCGTACGTATGTTGAACTTATTTCGCAACGTACGTAGCCAACCGGGCTGGTTGTTTCTGTCTAATTATCAACAAAGGGCGTTAGTGTTGGTCACCCAACCCAACCCCCCTCTCTCCTGTGCCGTGCCGGCCTTCGTAGGTGCTGCTCGCTCACAGCAACTTGTGGCCTACAAGCTCGTGTTGGCGTGCCCGGACTCTGGTCGGTGTGTGGGGGGAGGCGTGGTGGCCGTTTCGTGGCCACGGGGAGCTAAGAATTGCGTGAGATGAATAATCCGCAGGACGTGTTGATCTGTGCTTGGACGTGTTCTATTCTGTGGTGACGTGTGGTTGTGTGTGCGTGGGTGCGTTAACAGTGTGGGGCATTCACCGCACGATTGACGCTAGATAAATATATTTATTCCAGAAGGTATCTTGGTTAAACATGTTTAACATACAAACAAACAAATAACATGGTAAAAAAGTTGTTTTTATATGGTAGGCCCTTCAGTTTTCGTAGGTCAGCATGAGGCAGTGCAGAGAGCGTGATTCTCACTGATCCTGTGATCTCAGGAGAGCCATCGGTGAGCATTGGGGAGTGTTGAAACGATCATTCATTCACATCTGTACTTCAACAAGGTGTCTGTCAGATGGGTTGCCAACGTGATAAAGTGAAGATGCGTGTGAAGTGGCCAAGCAGAAAGACTTCTATGCTGATGCTACAGGCATTCAGGCACTTGCATGGGTAGGAGAAATTCCATGAATGGAGATGTATGTTGACAAATAACTTGAGGTGAGCTGCCATGATCCTGGAATGATGTGAGCAAAGAACTGGGAATTAATTATAGATTTTAAGCTTTCGTGACTGCAAGGATTCATACTCTTTGGTTTTTTCGGTAAAGTCACGTAGGTGAAAATTAAATAAAAATAAAACTAAATTAAATCACGACGTTTCGGAAGCAACACATGCATCCGTCATCAGGTGTGACTGCTCCAGCAACTGGGAATTACTTGAACCACTCATACAATTATACATCCGTTATATAGCGTACAAGCAGCTCGTTTTAGTGGTGGAGGTTCGTTGAAGCAACATTCAGTCTCTCTTATCAAGGAGACCTGGGGTGTCATACTATACAATCAGCATTCCAGAGGTATCAGGTGGATGCAAGTTTCCAAATATTTCCCTGCAGCAGTTTGGCTCAGAAGAAGCTCGTGGCAGCACAGGCAAGGTGCAATTCCTTTAAAATGTGACTCACAAACGTGCCTATTTTTAGCGTTTTTACGAGTAACAAATCGCTGCAGGTAAAATATTTAGTGGCTGCAGAATGTTATCTCGTGAAAGCTGAGTGTGTTGGTTTTAGTTTATCTTTGGCTGCGGCTGGTAGAGCCACAGCTTTTATCCATTACAATAAATCATTTTCTGCTGTTTACAATGGGTAGAGGTGAGACGACCTAATTTGTCTATGCCATGTTTACAATGATATCCATATGTTACTATGAGCAACTGTTTACGTTTTTGTTACAATGTTAACGTGTGCGTCTTTGTTGATTTATGACACTGTATTTTGATTGTGTTCAACAACATCTACCAGACAGGCTCTTTGAGAAAAGTCTGAAGAAATGGCCGAGAATATGGAGGAAATGTTCGAGCTGTCCAGCAACAACCACGTGCCGGACCTCCTGCGGGAGCTGTGCGAGCTGCGCGAGAAGGGCTCCTTCTGCGACGTCGTTGTGGAGGTGCAGAGCCGGCGCTACCTGGCCCACAAGGCCTTGCTGAGCAGCACCTGCAGGTACTTCCGGAGCCTCTTCCTCGACATGCCCTGCAGCTCCATGGGGCCCTTCCTCGTCGACTTCCTGACCATGAGGACTTTCGAGTTGGTCGTGAACTTCATTTACAAGGGGCAGATCCGTGCGAGCCGTAAGGAGATGCGGGGACTTTCCTACGCGGCCGTGGACCTCGGGATGGACTGCCTGGCTGAAGCTTGCAAACCCTTCAACTTGGCCGAGGATATTGAGAATGACATGGAAAGCGATGACTGTGGCAGGATTGCGCAGGGAGCGCGAGGCTTCACTGAGGATTTACATGGCAACGATGGGCAGAAAGACCATGCAGATGTCCCCGCAATGCCAGCCATCGAGGACAAGCCCGTTCTGGTGAATTGTTCCGTTTCAAAACACATCAACATGAACAACGCCATACCATTGGAAGATGGGTGTGACAAAATCAGAAATGCCTCCACAATGGTTGGTGAAATCAAGATTGAATCTTTGGAAAGTGAGGGTGCTGATGGTGGGGATGAAAACATTGAAGAGCCTTACGGAGAATTTGATAACCTGAATATTATGTTCGACGGCAAGGTGGAGCGAGTGAAAGCGGACTCGTACGTGGCCAAGCCCATCGGTTATCACCAGCTCAATGAACCCTATGCACAGTTCGCGGATGACATCCCGATGGGCATCCCGTGCCAGGTGTGCGATGAGTTCATCGGCGAGAGCGACGACTGCGTGAAGGGGCACGCGCGCTCCGTGCACTTGGACGTGGCGGCCATGAGCTGCAGGATCTGCGGCAAGAAGTTCCGGCTGCTGAGCAACGCCGAGCAGCATGTGGTGCTGCACATGGGCGTCACCGCGCTGCACTGCCACGACTGCCGCAAGCAGTTCTACTCGGAGGAGCGGCTCATTCTGCACCGCGCTCAGAGCTGCGGCAAGAAGCTCAAGGCGCCGTGGCAGGGTGGCCGGTTGGCGCGCGCCGACCCCGCGGCGACGGGGGTCGGGGCAGGCCTCGTCGCCGTCGTCTCTTCCTTCTTTGCCGGCGCCGCCACAATCGGCGACGCCGTTGGCGCCCGGCAACAACGTGGTGTGGTGCCGGACGTGCGGCGAGATGGTGTTCAAGTCGATGACGGCGCTGCGGTCGCACGCACGCACGCACGTGGACACCTCCTCGCTGCTGTGCAACGTGTGCGGCCAGCAGTCGACCTTCATCAGCAACCTCATCAAGCACGCGCTGCTCCACGTGGGCGTCTTCCTGTACGAGTGCGAGACTTGCGGCAAGCGCTTCCTGATGCGCTGCCGCTTGATCGTGCACCAGAGAGGCTGCCGGGGCAGCGGGGCCGGCGTGCAGGCCAGTGCCGTGGCCAACAGCTACTGATGGGGGAGGGGAGCCTGTGGGGTTGGACACTGGCCCTTGATGTAACTTTGTGACTTATATGAGGCAGCACTACCAAGATGTTGTTTTTTTGTAATGCACACTCCCATCAATAAGTTCATAAAGTCGAAAATAGGGCAACAACTGTTGCAGCGATTTCCACAAAATTGTCCCAGTGTATGCTACAGGCATTCAGGCACTTTAGTTGAGTGGTTTTCAACTTTACTGCAGCCTCCACCCCTTTGGTTCTCAGAAAGTGCATCTCACACCCCAAGGGGTGCGTGCACCCCAGGTTAAGAACCACTGCTTTAATTACACAAATATGGACACTTAGAAGAAATCTAAAATAATTTTCCAAATGGTGCCTCAAAGACACCAGAATTATAAACAATAAGTTGCAGCCCTTCATACAGTTTCTGAATTAAGGCCTATCAATGCCTTGTGAGCCATGAGGGAGGGATGTTTGATCATACTTCACCACGCTGGTCAGTGCGGGTTGTGAAAGGTTCGGCTCAGAACTAGTTCGCCATGCCGCTCGCTACTGATCTTACCCATAATCGGGTGTCAAAGTCCAGGCTGCTCGGTTTGTGGCATTGAAAGAAGCCACTGCACAACCCTCCATCTGTAATTTATAATTCTGAAGATGTGTTTTTTTTCCTTAAGTGCACATATTTTCATAAAATTTGGCAGTAATTGTGGAAGCGAGGGTTATTCGTTTAATATACTTTTGTGTGTACACACGTTTTCACACAGTGCTTTGTTCAGTATATAAACATAAATTGCAGCTTCAGCAAGCGATTTGAGGTAGAAGTCAGTTTTATTTTCGGTAGAGTCATGTCAATTCACAGTGGACAGGAGTGGACTACGAGGATTAGTCGGGACAATTTGTTTGAAAATGAGAGTGATTTATACTATTTATTCGTTTCACAAACAATTTAATAATGCCTCAACCTGATGTTTAGTTACATGTTTGATATAAAGTAAATCAGAAAAGCAATGCACGTGAGTGTGTGCTTTTCATATTTAACTAAAATAACTATTTGACTCCCATTTGCAGGTTACCCAATTTCTGCCTCTGTAAGTTAACGGTCTGCAGAAATCTCTGAAACAGCAGGACAATGGAAAACTCCAAACAGTCTCTCAGTTTTTTTTTATTTAAAGCTTTCGTGACTGCAGGGATTCATATTCTTGGTTCTTTCTGTAAAGCCACGTAGAAGGGAAATTAAAAATATATATATATATAAAACAATACAAATTCTCACGACGTTTCGACTGCAACACAAGCAATCATCAGGTGTGTTTTTTAATGGAACTCCTTCCATTGTTATAAGGTGTGAGGATGATTGCTTGTGTTCCAGTCGAAACGTCGTGAGAATTTTTTTTTTTTCCTACGTGACTTTACCGAAAGAACCAAGAATATAGTCTCTCAGTACCCAAATGGTATCTTTGAAAAGCACCAGAAGATCCCTGCCTAGCATGTAATGCGCACCTCTCCATGAGGACTGTGGGTGGACAAAGCTGATTTGAGCATCTCGGTATCTCAAGGATTGTCTTGACAAACAGTTTTTTTTTAATGGAACTCCTTCCATTGTTATAACAACTACAACAAATCAGTAGTTTGATCCTAAATGGGCATACTATCCTATTCTGATGTGCGTGTACTCTCCTATAGTCTATTTAATAGCACACAACAGTGTCCATTTCATGTACAAAAGTTATCTCAGCCTTATGCAGACCGCCTGTTTAAAATAACTGAACGTGCAGCCACCAACATGGCCACACATCCAGTTCTTTTGAGCTGGGGGGTCTGGATAAGGCTGAAGCTTTTGTACGTACAATGCACACCTATCTGTTGTTGAATCTGTGTTTTCCGTCTGTATTTTTTTTTATGAAATGGGTTTGCTTTTCATTTACACATTTTAATTATCTTGTGGTAATAGTCAAGTGAGTAGGATGAGGCATCACTGCTAAGGCACACAACCTTTAAAGCTATATAGTACTGTATCTGCAAAGATACTTTAGGCACAATTTGGGAGATGCATTGGTGTTAATGTGCACATCTAACCAATATGTGATCATCTGAGGGAATAGCTGCTCAAATATTTGATACACGTTAGACTAGGAATGCAAAGTGTGTGGCTTCAATCATTTGTCATTTTAGTACTTTGTGTGCTTTGTTTTCACCTTTGCAAAACATCTGTGCTCCGAATTGCAACATTCTCTTGATGAATGATCTCTATACAGTGTATCTGTATATATTTTAATACGCAAATATCCACGCTTTATGGATACTTGGCCAGCAGATCTGGAACGTAATTCAATATAAGAAAAAAAAATACTGACGTTTTTTGAATACATGTTATGTTTATTATTATTTAAGGTAGAACATGGGATGAAACCATCATAGCCGAATTGAATCCGACCTGAAGCTGAGCTTCCACATTTAAAAGCGAATCTGGCCAAACCCAAACTGTGTTCTGCTTCAATTCACAAAGAACAAAACGAGTACAATTACAACACGCAAACTACCTACAAGTGCTGAGAATACTATCAAGGGTGGGTGACAACTTTTTTTAACAAGTGGCCCATTCAATTAAACACAAAGTGAATATTTTGCAATTCACAATTTAATAATTACTGCCTTGCTGTGCATGGAAGCATGAGTGGCATCGCATGTGCATTCGCATACCCACACAACACGTGCAAATGCATAATGTATGCAAAGACCTGTAGACGTTCACACCACACTAACACGCACACATGCATACATTCACGTAATTTCTCCTCTTCGCTTTTTGTAAACGACAGTGACGAGGTATATCACGTCGATGGAGGTATGTCGGAAGGTCCGCGCCGATGGCTGGAGTGGCTGACGACGAGTGCTGTTGAGGAGGCGGGGAAATGCGACTGTGCTGACAGCTGTGGTCGGTGTCATTTTGCTGGTGCCGCTGTTGTTGTTGCCTCCGGTGGGAAAGTCGGCGGGGGCTCGGACACGGCGAGCCGCGAACATCTGAATACCCGAGTGCACCGCGGGTATCCACAGAGTATTCGCAACACAACGGGGCCGTGCTCTTAGTCGTGGCTCAGACTCTGGCTTGAGCCTCTCGGTTTGCTTCCAAATATGCATGAGCGGGGTCGGCCATGTCCTCTGCCCAGGCTCTGATCACGGAAATCCCGAATATGGCTTGGACCATGTTAAGAGTCTGCTCAAGGTCAACGGGGACTTGAGCTGGCTCAATGAGTCGGTCAAGCCCGAGCTGAGCCGTGGCTAAGGATATGTGCATACGAGGACCGTTTGTGCCACAGCCGATGATGCATGTAATAATGATGGCGGTGGCTGTGATATTTGTGCTCGTAGAAGGTATGTTTCAAATGACCAAAACAAATGATTGTGCTCGTGATATATACTTCACCGATTACCACGGTTGGATATGTACGGTGCGAAAGAGGTTCAGCAAACATGCATACAAGTAATTCCTGTAAGAATGAGGTTCTTTAACAATTTCTTAAAATGCGTTACATTGATGATAATTGTGCGAAATAGACAACAGATAAGACGGGCATTAATACAATGTAAAAGTCCATCCAAAGAGTTACAATATTAAACAGATTTGTAACCTGCATCTTGATAAATGACTCCTGGGGCAATGGAGAGTGTCAATCATTACATTCATAGCTGGATGGTGTGATTATTAGTCGGAATGCAAACAAAAAACCTAACTGATAATGTATGCACTGTCCTTGAAATTGATTGGTCCACACCCGAGACAGATTTTCTTCGAGCCTAGTCTCCCATGGTGTTGGACCAGATGACGCCAAAAGGCGCACAACTCAAAGACATTGCAGACATATGCCAGTGAGTCATGTGATAACCATTCGAAATCAGTTGGTTACAACCCGACGTTTTGGCACCTTAGGGTGGTAATGAACCCGTAAAAACAAAGTTTTTCACTATAAATCCTTTATATGCGTGGCATCGGTTTTATTTTATTATTCATTTTTGTTTTTCTTGAGTAAGAGTTTCATTTTTATCACATTGGTAGTTTAAATTATGACATTTTTTTTTCCTAAAAAGTGGAAAATTTTGGAAAAATGTTTTCACGAAAACAAATTGTCACGCACAACGAGTCTGTGTGCAAAATGTCAGCTCGATTGGATCACGGGAAGTGGGTTAAAAAAACGACCGAAAGATTTGCACGGTCGTAAGCGCGCAAGCAAGTGAACTTAATATAAAGGATTTTAAAATGCTTTGCTTTGGCCCATGGAATACGAGTGGGGAGTGAATAAAGTGTGGAGCGAGAGTCACCTCAAAGTGGTGGGAAGTGTATGTATGTTGAACTTCTTTCACACCGTACTTAGCCAACCGTGTTAATCGGAGGTGGTGTGACATGGTGGCCACTCACGCGCAGACTACAGATGGCACAGGGCTGGTTGGAATGTGAGCATCGGTTCAGAGCTAAAGACGAATCTAAATCGAATCTGGGTTCGAATTTATCCCATTCATAATATATGCGAAATTTACATTTTTTTGTAAACTCATGCAGGTGGTATATGCCGTGGTGGGAAAATATACTTCGGAAATATCTGCACTCATTTGAAAGTTACAGTTATTTGACTTGTCTTTACTGTTATGAGAGTTGAAAATGTATATTCTGAATTTGTAACAGCTCATGCGATGAAAAATGCATATTTGATCAGTCCTTCAGATTTGTACTACATTAAAATAATAAAATGCGATTAAACTCGAAATTATATAATTTTTATATTTGTGGAAGATGTACAATGTTTTTGTGAGGAAAAATGCCCGTTGATTTTATCAGGCATGTAAGTATATGCAATGTTATCAATTCTGTACACCAGGATCATGCACTTATTTTGAATTGTGGACTTTATCAAACGTCATTGTCTAAACTGACACACTTCACTTTCTATACACATTAACAATTTAGATGCATAAGGTGCCCTTAAACAACGGATGAGGGAAAACACATTCCTGCGGAGGGAGCTGGTAGGAACGTTGGGTTGCTCGGTCAATGGCCTGCAGGGTCAACGGCGGCGTGGTGTATTCCGCAAATATGCCCGACTGTGAGGGCGGGCACAAGCCGGCGTGAGTAGGTTAAACGTTGAGTTGTATAAGGGCACCACGGGGTGACCAGCCCCTCCCCACCCAGCCCCACCCTCCCCACCCAGCCCCTCCCCACCCAGCCCCACCCTCCCCACCCAGCCCCACCCCACCCAGCCCCTCCCCACCCTCCCCTCTCCACCCAGCCCCTCCCCACCCTCCCCTCTCCACCCAGCCCCTCCCCACCCTCCCTCCCCACCCAGCCCCTCCCTCCCCACCCAGCCTCTCCCCACCCAGCCCCTCCCTGCACAACGGACGGACGGACACAATCCCCTGTGGGTTGGTGTAACCAGGAACTTCCTACCAGTATAATATGTAACTGGGGAGATAAAGACACAAGATAGATAACCAGAATAAAGAAGGCTTTGTTTAGTAATTATCAAGCATGATGAATTATTATTCTTGACCACCGGCCATCATACCTACTAGTGACATGTCCTTAACAGAGCCCAACTGACTCGTGTTAATAGTTTGAAGTAAAACGTATTTTCTAAATTGATGCCAACACAGTCCTGATGCTGCTTTGACAAAACAAGGCCACTGGGACCTTTCGAGCCACGCCTCGTGCCATGGCAGAGACATGAATGTTCGGTTTGGTTAGTCCAAATCAGAAACCCAGCGTTATAAATCATTTGCATCTGCACATTTTATGATCAGATAACAAGGTAAAACAACTTGTGTACACGTCGTTGGTTTAACACAGGCTTTCGCGAGCAATATCGATTATAGAGGGGTTTTTGGGGGGGTTAGATCGCGTAAATATATAAATGTGTCGTTAAACCCGCCACCACCCGACACAGCCAACTAGTAAGGGTTGTCACGTAAACAGAACGTGGCAAATTCGTCACTAGTACAGCACTCGTGTGTAGTGTATAGTGTAGTGTATAGTGTAGTATACTAGTACAGCACTAGTGTATAGTGTAGTGTACTAGTACAGCACACCGGTGTGTTGGAGAGCCAAACCACAACATTCACAATCTGAGTATGAAGTTCTGTGCAAAGCTAGCTACTACTGGCCAAGACTAATTAGAGAATATATCGAAATTGAAAGAAAAAATATTTTTAACCGTTCGGAAAGCTACCGCCTTAGTGCTGCGTGGAAGCGAATCATCAAATAATACATTATTTAAAGGCTGCCTATAAAGGGCAGCATACTTTAATAGGATTACCGTTGGTAGGGCTATTTTAATACACAATATACAGGAAGGACAAGATCAAAGGGTTGACCATAATGCACATGCATCATGTACGTTGACTCAGTAATCCCACCCCACTTTGCACAGAAGCGTGGTCACCACATCTACGCCTCTATATAAGGAACTAAACAGACTTCACAAATCTGGCTGTCGCCTGATGAAGCTGGTTGTAATTACTGGCGAAACGTCGTACTCAGATTGTAAATGTGGCTTGGCTCTCCAACACACCGGTGGGTGCTGTACTAGTATACTACACTATACACTACTATACACTACACTATAAACTACACACTAGTGCTGTACTAGTGACGAATTGGCCACGTTCTGTTTACGTGACAATCCCTTACTAGTTGGTTGTGTTGGGTGGTGGCGGGTTTAACGACACATTTGCGCGATGTAACCCAAAAAAAACCTATTATAAATGTCATTGGCAGAGCCGGCCCAGCCACTAAGCGACCCTTGCAATTGCAAAGGGCCCCGTGGCCAGCAGAGGGCCCCCTAGAGTCACTGCGAGCTAGTGGGTGAAAAAATCATACATCAAAGGGGCCTCCAACCAAATTTTGCTTAGTGCCCCCAAAGGTCTAGGGCCGGTTCTGGTCATTGGTTTTACCCAATTTATGTTCATAAAATGTAATGAACACCGATTAGCAAGGTTCGGCTACGTACGGTGATGAAATAACTTCATACAAACATGTACATTGACAGCTCTTTTACTGCTAAAACACTTTTTATAAACAAGATTGACTTTTACACGCGCATGTAATCGGGGCTTAATTATTTCTCACATTGTCTGGGTTACAGGTCGCCTGGAGTAAGCACGGGAATACCGGTCACTGCCATAAGGGGCCGTCCATAAATGACGTCACGCACCTAGGGGGGGGGGGGGTTGAGAAATGTGACGTCACATAAAAATTCGCAACTTTAAATAAATATAGACAACACGTTCTACTTAATTAAATAGACTTTTTAATAAATGTTTTCTCCTACAACATCAGAGTGCAGCGCAACATTAAATACGCACTACAATGACAATAGTTTAAAGCGATTTGAAGCATGTTTTAGTTTTTGGGGGGGTTGGGGGGGCAGAGCTTTGTGACGTCATATTTGAGGGGGGGGGGGTCTGACTTTCTGTGACGTTGTGTGACGAGGGGAGGGGGGACAAAAAAACGCGTGATGTCATTTATGGACGGCCCCTAAGAGATAAACTTGATGTCGTGTGCCGGGTGTAAGTTTGTTTCCCATGTTGCAATTAAGCCCTGCGTACATTTAGAAAATGACGAATATGCAGAAGTGTAAAGCATATTGCAAGATATATCGCACTTATTACACACAGTGCTTGCCACAAATGAAACATTTATGGCTTTCGGTTAATCGTCGAACTTTGGCGGTCACCGCATCGCGCGCGCTCAGATTTGCTTCTGCGGCCGTCTGGAACGTTCTTGCGATATTAGCAAGCCACTGGAGCGATGCACTTTCAAATCATCTAGATTGAAAGCAACATGTTTTTAGAACAAAACGTAGTGTTTAGTCTGCTGTCTTTCTCCCACGCCTCCGATTAGCGAGGTTGTCTACTTACTGCGAGGAAGAAGTTCAACATATCAGTGAAGGAAACGGTCGTGTGCCAACAGCCCAAATGGCCAAGCGACTTTAAGACGTATGATATTAAATGCCATTTCAGAGTAATATGCTCAACAGGTTGCTTGTTGAGACACATGAAAGCTAGCATGTTAAGCAACTGAGAAAACCTATCCACAGAGGCAGCAGCATCTCAGCAAATAGCATTCCAAACGCAAGACAATCAAAACACATTAACCATGAGCTTACTTTGGCCACCATCCCCAAACAGCATTCCTAAACCGTTTCCCCCTTCAACCACAAACGTATCACTTTAAGGTGTTTGCTGAATATATTTGTTTAAAGTGCAAGGCAAAGAATTTGTTTGTAGATGTTTGTAGAGGCTTATGTGCAGTGTTCAGTGGCCAACCCATGCGTCTTCTTGGCGAATCCTTTAATTAAACCAGCAAGCCAGTGGCTGTCCTGGTCACGGTTTTGGTATAGATATGGTGATGGCAACAATGAAAACTTGGTCATAAGGATGATAATCATGTTTTAAATAACCAGGTAGGGTAATACAAATTTTGGAAATGATGATCATGACTGGTAACATCAATGGTTGTAATAATTATAAGAGATGATAATCGTAATGAAGATGAATTCTCGCTCTGCATAATGATGACAATGGCAGTTAATTATTGATAGTGGTGGTGGTAATTGAGCATGAGTGATGATTATCTTCAGCATATTAATTTGTGATTCTGATATTGCTGGTAATGTTAAAGTTGATAGTGGTGATGTTCGTGGTGGTGATGTTGATGGTGGTGTTGGTGATGATGGTGGTGATGATAGTGGTAGTGCTGGTGATGATTTTGGTGGTGGTGATGATGTTGATGATGTTGATGGTGGTGATGATGTTGTTGGTGATGATGTTGATGGTCGTGCTAGTGATGATTTTGGTGGTGATTTTGGTGATGTTGATGGTGATGATGATGTTGATGGTAGTGCTGGTGCTGATTTTGGTGGTGGTGATGATGTTCATGGTGGTGATGATGATGTTGATGGTGGTGATGATGGTGGTGATGGTGGTGGTGATGGTGGTGATGTTTATGGTGGTGATGAAGGTGATGTTGGTGGTGGTGATGTTGATGGTGGTGATGATGGTGATGTTGGTGGTGATGTTGGTAATGGATGGTGATTGTGTTGTTGATGATGGTTGTTGATGATGGTGGTGATGTTGGTGGTGATGTTGACAGTGATGTTGATGGTTGTTGTTGATGATGGTGGCGATGAAGGTGATGATTGTTGTTGATGATGGTGGCGATGAAGGTGATGTTGTTGATGATGTTGTTGATGATGTTGGTGATGGTTGTTGGTGGTTGTTGTTGATGATGGTGGTGATGAAGGTGATGGTTGTTGTTGATGATGGTGGCGATGAAGGTGGTGATGTTGATGATGTTGTTGTTGGTGATGTTGTTGATGGTGTTGGTGATGATGTTGATGATGTTGTTGTTGATGGTTGTTGATGTTGGTGGTGTCGCTGTTGTCAATGTTGTTGCTGGTCACGCCCCCCACTAGAAGCCTAAGGAGCGCGCTCCCGGCATGCCGCGCGGCGCTTTGTCCGGGTCCCGCTACGGACTTCTCTTGCTGCCGCTCTCCTCGTGTCCACCTCGACTCTGTCAACCCTCTCACCTCCTCCACCTCCTCCTCCACCTCCTCCTCACCTCACCCTCCTCACCTCGTCCTCACCCTCCTCCCCACAGCGTCTCCGGAGCTGAGAGGCGCCCCTCGACTGGGTCCCGGCGTGCGGGGGACGCGGCCAGCGTCGCGACGCCTCCCCGTGAGTTGCTCGCGAACCCACGCGGCGACACGAGGCGACTGGCGACACGAGTTGCAGGCGATTCGAGTTGCAGGCGATTGGCGACACGAGTTGCAGGCGACTGGTGACACGAGTTGCAGGCGATTGGTGACACGAGTTGCAGGCGACTGGTGACACGAGTTGCAGGCGACTGGTGACACGAGTTGCAGGCGACTGACGACTCGAGTTGCAGGCGACTGGTGACTCGAGTTGTAGGCGACTGGTGACTCGAGTTGTAGGCGACTGACGACTCGAGTTGCAGGCGACTGGTGACTCGAGTTGTAGGCGACTGGCGACTCGAGTTGCAGTCAACTGGCGACACGAGTTGCAGGCGATTCGAGTTGCAGGCGATTCGAGTTGCAGGCGATTGGCGACACGAGTTGCAGGCGACTGGGGCCTCGATTTTCAGGCGACTGGCGACAAGTCGCCTTTAACTATCGACACGAGTAAACCCTCAAGGTATCATCGCCACCACTCGTCCATTAACTTCCACCCAGTGCCACTACCAACCCCTTAGCTGCCACATCCTGACACTATTAAACATTCATTAGTGGCACTACTAACCACTTGTTTTACCTCTAACTTGTGACATTTACTAGTGGCACTACTAACCACTTATTTTACCTCTAACTTGTGACATTTATCAGTGCCACTACTAACCACTTATTTTACCTCTAACTTGTGACATTTATCAGTGGCACTACTAACCACTTGTTTTACCTCTAACTTGTGACATTTATCAGTGCCACTACTAACCACTTGTTTTACCTCTAACTTGTGACATTTATCAGTGCCACTACTAACCACTTGTTTTACCTCTAACTTGTGACATTTATCAGTGCCACTACTAACCACTTATTTTACTTCTAACTTGTGATATTTATCAGTGCCACTACTAACCACTTGTTTTACCTCTAACTTGTGACATTTATCAGTGCCACTACTGACCACTTATTTTACCTCTAACTTGTGACATTTATCAGTGGCACTACTAACCACTTATTTTACCTCTAACTTGTGATATTTATCAGTGCCACTACTAACCACTTGTTTTACCTCTAACTTGTGACATTTATCAGTGCCACTACTGACCACTTATTTTACCTCTAACTTGTGACATTTATCAGTGGCACTACTAACCACTTGTTTTACCTCTAACTTGTGACATTTATCAGTGCCACTACTAACCACTTGTTTTACCTCTAACTTGTGATATTTATTAGTGGCACTACTAACCACTTATTTTACCTCTAACTTGTGACATTTATTAGTGGCACTACTAACCACTTATTTTACCTCTAACTTGTGATATTTATTAGTGGCACTACTAACCACTTATTTTACCTCTAACTTGTGACATTTATTAGTGCCACTACTAACCACTTATTTTACCTCTAACTTGTGATATTTATTAGTGGCACTACTAACCACTTATTTTACCTCTAACTTGTGACATTTACTAGTGCCACTACTAACCACTTATTTTACCTCTAACTTGTGACATTTATTAGTGGCACTACTAACCACTTATTTTACCTCTAACTTGTGATATTTATTAGTGGCACTACTAACCACTTATTTTACCTCTAACTTGTGACATTTATCAGTGCCACTACTAACCACTTATTTTATCTCTAACTTGTGACATTTATCAGTGCCACTACTAACCACTTATTTTACCTCTAACTTGTGGCATTTATTAGTGACACTACTAACCACTTGTTTTACCTCTAACTTGTGACATTTATTAGTGACACTACTGACCACTTATTTTACCTCTAACTTGTGATATTTATTAGTGACACTACTAACCACTTGTTTTACCTCTACCTTGTGACATTTATTAGTGACACTACTAACCACTTGTTTTACCTCTAACTTGTGACATTTATTAGTGACACTACTGACCACTTATTTTACCTCTAACTTGTGATATTTATTAGTGGCACTACTAACCACTTATTTTACCTCTAACTTGTGATATTTATTAGTGGCACTACTAACCACTTATTAAACCTCTAACTTTTGATATTTATCAGTGCCACTACTAACCACTTATTTTACCTCTAACTTGTGACATTTATTAGTGACACTAACCACTTATTTTACCTCTAACTTTTGATATTTATCAGTGCCACTACTAACCACTTATTTTACCTCTAACTTGTGATATTTATCAGTGCCACTACTAACCACTTATTTTACCTCTAACTTGTGGCACCTATGTTTACCCTCCACCAAATGCAACGCCTAAACCCCCCAACTAATTCACCTTTGTTTAACCCACGACTTGTGCCACTATCGAACGTTTATGTTTCACCTCTATGCATCACCCCTATTAAACCTTAATGCCACCTTAATATCTAACAAGCACAACGACAGTTTTGTACCAGTTTAAAAGGGTAAAAACCTACTACTATATTTTGCTACTGGTAAAAGAGATCTCATAGTGTAAATGCTTTCCCCGAGCTCTCAATACTCTGATAGTGCACTGTGTTTGAGTTGTACGCCTTCTGGTGTCATCTGGTCCAACACCAATGGGGACTAGGCTCTAAAGAAAGCCGTCTCGGGTGTGGACCAATCAACTTCAAGGACAGTGCATATTATTATCATTATCAGAGTTGCTTCTTTTTGTTTGCTTTTTTGACTACTTGTGTTGTGGTTATTGCAAACATGATGCCTTGAATAAAGGTGTCAGTTTTGTTCCAGTTTAAAAGGGTTAAACCTACTACTAAGCACAACAATTTCACCTCTACGTATTGCCATCTCTAAAACGTTAACCTTTCGCTCGTTAACACTTCCAAACCATGAACATGTATCCTTGTTAAACCTTGGCTTAACTTTGTACTAGTGCCACCACTAAACCTTTATTGTACCTTTACCCTTACGTAACCCTTGCCTGTATTTACCTTCTAGCGCTTCAGTAAAAACTCATAATTCACCTTAACCCGACCTCGTTATACCGAATCGCTGAGTGAAGACTGAATGACTGCTGACATCGTTATAGCCAACCACTACCTTAACACTCATAGCTTCTTTATTCACTAAAAGCCACTAGCTTTGATGGAACCTTTAACCAGCACGCCTTTCCTTACACACCCTTTACTACGTCGTTTAACTATTGTCTAACTACTACAGTATTGACACAGTACAGTGCTTACTCCGAGGATTAGGATTGTACGTAACGTCTAAATGCAACCTGCATTAAATGGCACGATGCACTCTATTAACCTTGCAATACACCCCGAGTCTGACTTTATTATGATATACACAACATTTAACCTGCAGTTTTTTTGTTTGGCATTGCAGTAAACACTTTAGCAAACACGCTATTTCTCGCCAAGCTTATTTCAAAACAACAACTCTTATACATTTTAATCAGGCCTTCGGTACATTCTATGTTTTAGCCATCAACTCAAATACACGTTGGCCGTAATTTATTTACAAAAAAACTCAACACATTTGGCAATAACACTGTGCCATTAAAATGAGAATCGTACAGTGGTCGACGTTTCGAGTAATGGCCCTTATTCATAGCACATTAAAACCAGGCAAGTGTTGTTGACGAAAGTTGAGTTATTTTGTTAGTCGTGCTTTTGCACCACTGCCATCGCAGCAGCAGCAGCATCACCAAATACTTTGTTTCATAAGTTTGCAGTGCCTTTCTTAAACCACAGATTTGTTAAACCACTGACCGGCATTATAGCACGGCCAGCAACATTGTGTCCTTATAAGCGCTCTCTTCAACAGGTCACTGCCTTGTGTTCATTTTTGGGGACATTCACTCTACTGGAGCGCGGAGCGCTACGTCTGTGTGGTTCCACCGTGCTGTTTGTATATTTTGTGTTTTTTGTTCTCGTGTCTCCGAGATGCCACTTCTAGCAGGGGGTAACAGAGACCACGCTCAGAGGAGGAGTTGAGAGGCTAGAGTGACACGGATGGAGATGATGAAAAAAAAGGGAAAAAAATCAGCGGAGTGATGAGATGAAGAGGGGTGGGGGATGTGCAAATAACAAAATGATTTAGTTGTTGAACAGCATCACAGCTGCACCAGCTTTGTTGACACCTCGCAGATGTTGCTCGTTCTGTACACGAAGAGCCCTTTTGTTAATCCACTGCTCGATGAGATCCTCCCCACACCTTTGCAGATCATTGTTTGAGATGGGTGATAAAGTGGGTTGGTACGGGATGGCGAAGGTGGGAAGTTTAGGTATCGGAGTAAAGGAAAACATGTACAGGTAGTCCTCTACTTACGATGGAGATGCGTTACGACGACCCCATCGTCAGTCAATAATATCGTAAGTCGAAGATGGCCTAGCCTACCCAGGAGTCTTAAAGAATGGTGATTATTTAGCAAAACAGAGCAATTTACAGTACCGTACTGTATACACTATATACTGTATGTATTTATTAATTACAAAACTGTATTGCACAGTAAAATGTAGAGTAAAAAAACAAGGTAAATTCGTAGCCTACCTATATGAACTGCAATTTAATAGAAAGTTTTTTCGGGAAACAATCCTATCTGCTATGAAAACTTTTAACATGCATTTTGTCGTATCGCCATCGTAAGATCGAAATATCGTAAGTCGGACCGTCGTAACTCGGGGACTATCTGTAGCTGTTCGGCCCTCTCCTGTCCAGTACGTTGGCCCGCAATCCCATGGCAACCTGTTTGTGCATTCTGGTAGCCCATCTCAGCAAGCCCTGTCCAGACTAAATTCTGCTTAGCTTCTGAGATGTGATGAGATCAGGCACATTCTGATGACTCGCCACTCGTTAATATTACTGACAGGTATGCCCCCATACATGGTATTGTCCAGTTATCAAGGTAAGCTTATGCAATGTTGTGCAATCGGGTACCAAAGGGTTTGGATCCCAGAGTATTCAACGCAATGCTCCTATTTGTATCGATGAGTGGTGGCTGCCCTATGAACTCTGCAACACGAGTTCAATACCCAGCCATGGCTAACATCAGTGATGACTAACATCCAAACCACTCCATGCCCCCCCCCCCCCTTTCACCAACCGCTTTGACCAGCGTAGTGAAGTATGGTGAAGCGACCCCCATAATTGACACTGTCGGTGTGGGGATGTATTCATCCAGCAGAGAATGGACAACAACAAATACTTCATATTATTAAGGTGGCATTTGTGTCACTTTCATCAACTGCACAGTACTTATCAGACAGGAGAAACGAGAAGGTATGAGAATAGGCACTGGAGATGGGGATGAGAGTAAAGTGAGATGTATGGCTGATGTTGGTTCGGAGTTGAGGTTGTTTTTTTGTTGTTGATCGAGATGTTAGAGTGAAATGGAGAGGCTTGTGGCCTCGGCTGCACTACGTCAAGCATGCCCAAGTGGAATTCCCCAATTCTTGCCAACACGAGGAGGTGGGGGAGGGGGTAACTATAACAATAAACACTAATGAGTGGTCCCTCTCACCGTGGGGAGGCCTTCATCCAGCGGTAGATTTGGCCGGAAGGTGCGTACATGTACACTGTATATACATGTTCTGAGTCTGAGGCAGTGTTCCTCATTGCAAGGCCTGCCGGGCCACTGGCAGCCAGAGGTCGCAACCAGGTACCCGATACCCGTACCCTACCCGATACCCGGCTATCCGTACCCGGCCGGGTACGGATAGCCGTTTGCGACCCTGTTGCGGCCGGGTACGGGTACGGGTAGGCCGTGAGTCACTGGTGAGTAACCGTTTGTCACTCGGGTAGGGTACGGGTAGGGAACGGGTACCCGTACCCGGCCGGGTACGGGTAGCCGTTTGCGACCCTGTTGCGGCCGGGTACGGGTACGGGTAGGCCGTGAGTCACTGGTGAGTAACCGTTTGTCACTCGGGTAGGGTACGGGTAGGGAACGGGTACCCGTACCCGGCCGGGTACGGGTAGCCGGGTACGGGTACCCATTTGCGACCCTGGTGCGGCCGGGTACGGGTAAGGAATCAAAATCCGTTTGCGACCTCTGTTGGCAGCCCTCTGGTGACCTTTAGCGTGGCCCCAGACAATACACAAATTCATGACCACAAATTCTGACCCCCCCCCCCCATCATCGTGCTGCTGTCAAACCCTCATTGGTTTCAAGCGTGTGGAGGTCCGCACACACTGATGATGTCTTATCGGACGAAAGTGGCCCCCCCTGTGAAAATGAGTGAAGAACGCTGGTATAAGGGGTGAAATGAAGACCCTTTTGCGTGCACGAGTGGCTGTTGATTAATAAATAATACTTCTCGAGGCTGCATAACAAGCATCGTTTAATCCAGTGTCCATGTCTGTTCTCTGGTACCTGCTGAACTGTAGTTTTATATGTTTAGTTACAGATATTGTGTTGTGTTAGCAGAGTTGATTTACGGTATAGTTACTGTGTTAATGTCTGGGTTTATTTGCCACGTACAATTTTATATAAAATAATATATTTGCCACGGATTTTTGAGGGCGCGTGCCCCTGATTTTGATTGCGTTCAACTAATCTATTTTACTGACCACAATATTCCTTTCGAATTGGGCTTTTGCAATTTTTTATGGCATTAAAAAAACTAGTTTTATGCGAACAGGTTTTTGGGAGAGAAAAAAATGGCAGCATGTAATTCACCAAAAAACTTCATGGTGTTTGAAATATGCAGCAGCAATGTGGTTCTGAAAGCTTCGTCGTCATGGAAGCCACGGATATAGATTTAGAAATTACTATGCAACTGACAAACACTTGGCCGAGGCCGCTCAATAACAGCAATTGTTCTGTACAACTCTGGCTAAATGTAGAATCATTATTTCGTGGCACTAAGCTGCTGGTTGAACATTACCATTACACTGTGATAAATAAAATGTGGAATAATGGGATTTTCAACATGAAACGCTTCTATTTGCAATTTCCTAAGTATTGTATAATTTAAACTCTAGTTGGTTAATGGTTAATTTTTTTCCCGAGGGACCTTTAGCCCAGTTATTGAGATAGTGAATTGTTTACACTACGACAGATACATGGACTGTGGTACCAACGTGACCTCCAAAGCTCTGCCATCATTTATGCAAGACAATTTAATATCTTAATCTCTAAATTGTCATAAAAAGGAATTTAGTTGGTATACCGTGTGAACTATTCAAATATATTTGGTGTATGATTAACCAGTCTGTACCATTTGAAGCCAACCAGATAAACTGAATGTCTAGAAATAGACTTATTTTTTCAAGGTATATGTTAGAATAATAATATGAACATGAATTTGAAACCGTAAAATTAGGAGCAATTCCAGAGAGTAACTTTATAAGCTAAAGCCTGAATTATCCAAAAACTCGATACAATTAGTGATTGTCCTTGTATTTCATTAACGAATTGTACATATTTCCACATCTTTACGTGTAAATCAAAGCATAGCAGTGTACCGTAACTATTCCATGTGGACTGCCTCTCAGTCCGTGTTTGTCATTCCTTCATTGTGCCATTAATTTAAATTGTCGTTTGTCTCAATACTGTGGTACATATCCCCGCATTTAGTGTGTATCCAAACATAATGCACGCTGACATCGCCAGGCATTTTAACAATAACAGCATCTTGAGTGGTGAATGGCTGTCATTGCATTGTGCTGATGCCGGTGCCATTATCTAAAGTGAAATGTCCACAAGCGAATTGCGTTTTTGTTAATACTTTACTTTATCTATACGCCACTTTCAATTAAACCAAAATACCTTACCAGTTAGCTACATTAAAGTAACATTTATTCATCTAAAATTTACAGAGCTGCAGTGGGCTAAACAAAGCATTAGGAACATTTGGAATGACCGTGCAGAGAATGTTGGAATTTCTAAATCTAAAACCATTCTCAGAGAGTGCTTAATGCTGTAGCATGCATGTTTTGGTACCAGGTTATCCTTTTCTCTTTCTGGCTTGCTTAGTACCTATTTGGAGATGAAAAGTTAATTTTGCACTGTCTACAAATTATTAATGTAAATCGATAATAGCTATGGATCCACGTATAGTTACTTCACACGAGTAATTATACGTCAAACTCTTCGTTGTTTGAGTCGCACGCGTTAATAAGTACGCGTCGCCGCATACGGATCCTGTCGCGCGTGACTTGCAATTTTACTCACCGGGGGTCCATCTCGCTTTCAGAGGGACGCCGTTTTGCTGCTCCTCCTCCACGGCCGCATTGAGGACGCTGCGGGGGACGACGAACATGGCCGACGATCCGGTAGGAGAGGAGCTCAGCTTGGTGAACGACAACCACCTGCCGGACCTCCTGCGGGAGCTGTGCGAGCTGCGCGAGAAGGGCTCCTTCTGCGACGTGTCGTTGGAGGTGCAGAGCCGGCGCTACCTGGCCCACAAGGCCGTGCTGAGCAGCACCTGCAGATACTTCCGGAGCCTCTTCCTCGACGTGCCCTGCAGCTCCATGGGGCCCTTCGTCATCGACTTCCTGACCATAAAGCTCTTCCACCAGATTCTGGAGTTCGTCTACAAGGGGCACATCAAAGCCGACAAGGTGGAGATTCGTGACTTGTACAAAGCGGCCAAGGACCTCGGACTTGACTGCTTGGAGGAAATCTGCCAGCGCATCGTGCCATTGGAGTACCTCGAGGAGTGTTCAGACAGCGAGTCTGAGATCTCGCAATCTCTTAGTGACGCGGGCGCGCAGGTGTCGGCCTCAGCCGATGGGTGCGTTGAAGACGGAGCGGCAATTTCTGCTGAAAACCTTAACGACGTTGACGGTGGAGGTAAAACGAACCCTAAGCACAAAGCCGAAAACTGTGTCACCAAAAATAAGGGAGAGAAGAGTCGTCAAAGTAATGATGCCAGGAGCTCTGACAGTGTCCAGAGCCATCCCTGCAATGGCAACAAACCGCAGAAAAGTGTGAAGGCTGGAAAAAATTCAGAGCAAGAATTTTGCATCTCCAATGTGGAGAGCATGTCGCGCCGTGCAGGAGAGCGAGCTGTCGCAGAGGCACCGCCAGATAAACACGACTCTGCTCAAAGGAGAGGAGATTTCAATTATACTCCCGTTGGCATTTGCGAAGTTAAGATGGAGCCTCTGGACGAAGAGGCTTTTATATTGCCTTCACGCAAGGAATCGCGCTTGAGTCACGTCGGACTGAAGGCAAACGACAGCGAAAATGAGATGGTCCAATCCTCCGATGTAAAACACAGAGACCCCAACTCGCCCATGCTTGGCATAGATGGCAGTAGGCACATGGAGGTAATCCACGCCATGCAGAGTTATTCGATGGTGGCTGCCGACGGCAAGCTGCGTAACCAGCTGCACGTGAACGACTTTGCGCCACGGTTGCCGGTGGGTGCCACCGACTCGTTTGTATTGTGCCAGGTGTGCGGTGAATTCGTTCAGGAGATGGGGCTGAAGGATCACGCGGCTGTGCACCTCGACCTGGCGACCATGGAGTGCAAGGTGTGTGGCGTCGCCTTCGGCTCGTTCGGCGAAGCTGTGGAGCACGTGCTCCTGCACACGGGCATCACCGCCTCGCCCTGCGAGGGCTGCGGCGAGGTTTTCCTTTCCAAGGACAGCCTCTCGCTGCACGTGAGGGACTGCGGCAAAGGCGAGTCCAAGGACCACCTGGACGACTTCCAGATGGACGAGTCGGAGGGGCTCGACGGCGGTCCGCCGGAAAGGGTGTTCTGCCAGGTGTGCGGCGTCTCCCTGCCCAGGAAGTTCCTCGCCGTTCGCAAGCACGCCAAGTGCCACGTGGACAGCGAGAAGCGGGAGTGCAGGGTGTGCGGCCGCAAGTGCAACTACCTGAGCAACGTCATCAAGCACACGCTCATCCACATCGGCGTTTGCCTCTTCACGTGCGACATCTGCGGCAAGAAGTTCCTCAACAGGAACAATCTGATGGCCCACCGGCGCAGGGTGTGCCTGAACTCGCGGTGCTACCTGTCGGAGGGCGCCTGGCAGCACATGGTGGACGAGAACCACCCGCTGGGGGAGCTCGATCTCTCGCACTCGTCGGCGACGGCGGACGGGCCGGAGGAGGTGCTCGGCACAGACGTGTCCGAGTAGCGACGTCGCGGGGAGGGGAAAAAAATCGACCGTGGTGAAACCCCTTTCTTCCCTCCATCGCTGCCTCTGTCCTGCTCTGACAACCTTTCGTCAGCCGCGCCGTTATTATTTAACAACAACAAAAACCCAACGGGAGTGATTCGTAGTTATTGAAATGCAAACGTGTGAATTTCAATATTTGTAGTATTTGGCATTTGTTGTGGTTTTTAAGTATTTATTTGATTTGAAATCAGATAGCCCGGCGCAAGGTTAATGTTTCGTGTGATTTATAGTTTTACGCAATACGCTCTTGAAGATCCTCCCACATGTTACCTTGTTTATTGTTTGTGAAATTTGGTTTTTAAAAGTTACATGTGATCGTGCTGAAATGGAAAGTTCAAGTGATTTGTGAACATGTAAAATGTTCACTGCTTCTCATCACTGTAGTTAAACAATACGTTTTTTTTTATAACAGGCGCTACGTTCCTAATAGATAAAACATATTTTGAATAAAGTATTTTATTTAAAGTACAAAAAACACAATGAAAAAGTAGAGTTTGTTATTAAATATGCCAGCTTAAGATAGTGTTTTATATATTTTGGATTATAAACTTGAATGATAACGTTAAGCCTTCCTTGGTTACAAACAATGTCCAGTTTACAGAAACATGTGAGGTCTGTTATTTAATACAACATTTCTCCGCTGTTCATGAGGCCAGCAGACTTCAACCTCTTGTACACAGGAAGACATTCAACATTTTCATTTTCACAGAATACTTGTTTTTTTCTGAATGACACCTGTCATTGCTAACAAGCAGTTGATATTGTTAAGCAATTAAAATGTATTACATCAGCAGCTCACTTGCTAAAAAATGCATCACAATGCTGTCTGTGCTCAGCGATTTGTATAATTGAAGAAAGTAAAAAAATGCCTAATGGGCTTGTATGTTAATGCGTGGTAAAAAAAATAGACTACCAATTGAAGTGTTTTGTTAATGTGTGCGGGATGTCCATAAAAGTATTGTTCTGTACATTATTAAACAACAACACATTCGGCGGCAGTTTGCACGAGGCCGATAAAAACGTAAGCACGGTGTCACAACCGGACTTAAAATGTTAAAAGTGGTTGGTTGATGTGTCACTGGGTGAGTCAAGAAGCAGCGGTTCTCAACCGGGGGTATGCGGAGCCCCCCTCCCTCGGGGTGGAGGGGGCGCGGTACGTGCGAGGTGATTTATAAATGTGTGAAATTATATCGCGAGAGTCATCGGTGAATAATCACGTATGAATCTGCCAATATAAAATAACTACGATGACATTTAAATCCTCGTGGTAACCGAGAACGACATCAAAGATCTCTTTCTCAGCTCGTCGATCGTACGCAATGTGGAGTTTACAAGAGTCGCCGGCGAGTGCGAACAAATCATGTCACTCGCGTGCAGGAGGGCGTCCGTCGAATTGTTTTTATTCCGCTTGCATTTACTCGCCTGTTAGGATACTTTTTCAAAAATGGACAATTGGTTAAAATGTCGACGTTCATTCTACATTTATTTCTCAGAACCTTAATGGGTCAGGCAAGGGGGTTATCGGGTGAAACTGAGTTCAACAAGTAGTTGGCCAAAACAGGTTGAAAATCACTGCCCGAGAGTAGGTTTTAAGATTCTGACATTTAAGTCGCCCAAACAAAATCCAGGAACCCAAATGGAGCAAAATAACATAACACTTGAAAACAACAATAGTCAAAAGGCCTCATAAAAAAAACAACTTTCAGATAGGTGACCTAATGCTTAACATTTTTTATAAGAAGATATCCAACGCAAAGAGCATGGTATGCTCAAAGCGGAAGGTTTGGTTTCCGCTGGTTACCTTGCTGCTCATTACCCGTATATACAGAGTCCCGTACGCATATATATTTTTTTCCAGTGTCGCACAAAGGGTATATATATTTTTCCCCCTTACAATAGCACATTTATAGAGTACGCTTTATATAACAGCAGCACACGAGGAGAGCGATTTTCCCTTACATTACACAATGGAAGTGTTTCTCCTTTCGTTATACGGACTGTTTCTCCCAATTCCACAATCTGGACTGTTTTTGTTTTCGTTCCGCACAGTCGGAGAGTATAGTTTTATTTTGTCGTGGCAGGGGTCGTCCCCCCCCACCCCCCCCCCTATGCCGCACCACCACCACCTCATCACTTTTACGCAGTTACACATTTAACAGAGACTGACAGCTCATCCGAGATGAGTCTTCGTTTCACACGAGTGCCTAGCCCTTGTCCCCCTCCCCCATCCTTTTCTCTGCACAGTGTCAACTTGCACGCTCTTTTCAAACCTGGACTCAATATATTGGAGCCGCTTTGGCTCGGCCTGATAAGTCTCGTCCACCACACGTGGACTCTCATTGGTGCCCTGCCGCCGGACTACTGAAAAGGATAAAATATATTCGTGTTCCTTTCTTATACCACCGTACATACAATTTTTTTTATATTTACTGACTTGCAAGCTTTAAATGTGAGTTTAATACCGGTGAGGTGACCTTCTGTCTGGCTTTGCCTTGTTCAGCCCTTGCTTGACAAGATGCCCACAAAATGCTTTCGGCCCACGTTGGAATATTTTTGCTTCCTACCACTGCGCGCTTTGTCACCCAAGCGTAATATAAACCAGAGTTCGCAATCGGGTAACCGATACCCGTACCCTACCTGATACCCGGCTACCCGTACCCAGTCGGCTACGGGTACCCATTTGCGACCCTGGTGCGGCCGGGTACGGGTAAGGTATCAAAACCCGTTTGCGACCTCTGATGTGAACTGATTGTTAATACCCAATCTTACATTGAAAAACACGTCACCCTCCTGCCCTCTGGAAGGAAGATTGGGTAATTCATCCCCTTTTTTGCCATTCCATTTCCCCATGTTGACTCTAAATTAGGTGTTTCTATGACTTGCACTTACCACTTTTGGGATTATGTACAGGTTAAATCACTGTCAGTAGGTCATAAAATCCAATAAGATTTTCTGCCCAGCAATCAATTGTATTTTAGAAGCTTACCTCATTTTACACACGTTTCGTCACAGACATAAGCAACGTTGCCAACATTTCGAGAATGCAGTTAAATCATGTCTAAATATAATTTTTGTTAACAATGATAATGCATAATGATGTATATCGCGTTCATGGAAATTACATCTCACGATTGATGAGGAACCACCGTGAAAGGCAGCCAGGCGTTTATCAGACGTCAACAATTTTTCAAGGTCTGCAGTACTCTACATAGTAAGTTGTTGGGTGATATCTTTACGGACGCCTTGTATGCGGTGGGTTTATTATTTTTAAATATTGATATGAATGTTGAATTCGTTGCGAGAGTAAAATAGCGCTGCAATACACGTGAAAAAAAAAACATTTAACGTGGTTACATTTATTTTTTTCAGCTAGAAACATGAAGGTACCTTTCCTGCCTTTCAAATAGCTGGTGAGCTTGACCCTGGTTAACTTTGGATGTTACTGGGTGCATTCATGTTGGAGGCAAATGGGCTTTAAATATTAATTCAAATTATTGTATACTGTATCTCAAAAACAGTAGTTACATGTCAACAAAAGCATGACATTTGGCATGTTTAATGCGTTACGCTTTACCTAAGGTTTAGTTGCTATATAGAGTAGTGGTGGCCAGTACACCAAGCGTTGTGATCCGTTTTGGTGGATCTCAACGGATTCTGCGATCCACCAGAGCTCCGGCCAACCATCATCCAGATTTAACCCTTTGATATACAAATAACAAAAAAACATCTATTTGGTAGAATACATTTTTTGAATGGATGAAGTTTCAGGGATTTTTATTTTGCCATTGGACGTAACAGAAGAATATCTATGGGACCCATTTTGCCAGTATCAAAATATTGAATAATAAAGACGGTCCTATAGATATAACTGCTAATCGCAAGCTATTAAGGCAATTGGCGTTTGCATTGTCCGGATACTGTTCGCCTTTTCGTGGCCTGTGGCCGAGCACTGGTGAGAACAAAGCTATGCTCTTTGGTTCTTTCGGTAAAGTCACGTCGGTATAAAATAAATTAAATCACGACGTTTCGGCCGCAACACAAGCGTCTGTCACAACCACAGCAAGAAATAAACGCAATTGTCCCACCTGATGTTTCTTGCTGTGGTTGTCACACCTGATGACGGATGCTTGTGTTGCGCCCAAAACGTCGTGATTTAATTTGATACCTACATGACTTTACCGAAAGAACCAAAGAGTATGGATCCCTGCAGTCACGAAAACTTCAAATCAAATAAGTTATGTTAGGAGGCTGTCTCTGGTGTAGGCCAATCAGGTAATGCATACATTCATTGTCAAAGTATATTGGTTTCCATTTTTACCACAAGGTATATGCGGTAAATGCAGACTTAATGCCTTGTAATAGGTCTCTATTTGATGTTTAAACAATTTTACAGACGTATGTATGCCAGAAAGGGTAAAACCTTTTATTATGATTAATTAATATAGTAACAAACATGTTTGTCGCTTATGTTAGTGTTCTTATTTGTCCTGAGATCCGCGTATTGACCACCGTTGCCGTAGAGAAAGTATATTTAACTTGCAGTTGATAGTATTAGGGCAGGGCAATAATTTATTGAGTTGTCGTTTTGTTGATATCCCAATGCATATGTGTAGAAGTCGAGGTGTTGATGCTATTTTATGTTGGCACCCTGATGTTTGAACGAGAGAACCCGGTCATACACTGAAACGTGCATCGGCATGGCATACAAAATGGCATTCAAACGAGAATTTTAAGTCTGATGTCTGATATATGGTATTATCTTGTCGACTTAACATGCCTATCGTAAACCTTTACTTTTTCCGTGTCTCGTTTCATAACAAAAACCCCAAGGGCTACCATTGTTTGGAATTGTGGCTGTCTTTATTTAACTCCTAGAATTAATTCCCAATTGCTCCCAATAAAGATTACTACAACAATTTACTGGTGTATGCAGTCAGCTGACTACTGTACTTCGTTAATTACACTTGCCTCAAGTCTGGGAAGAGTTCGTGTATGCTTTTTCGATACTTGGTAAGCTAATTTGTGGCTGAAAAATTTTTCAAAAAGGTATCCGTATTTCAGTCATGTTGATATATTTTTAAAAGACGAGTCCATTCAAATAAAAATATGTACTTCGGAATTTGAGGCCAGTAAATCTATTGCATAAAACATCAGTTAAAGTTTCCCCATACTTTGCAATGTAATAGTTGTGAACTGGGGGAGTAGGAATAATATGGAACTGGTACAGACCGCGCATAATGATCAATACTCTCAGGATGGGCTGGCTTCACAGAAAATGGAGCAGGCATTGCCGAGAATCACGGGTTCGTATCTGGACAGCCACTTGAGTAAATCAGTATCTCCACTGTCAGGAAACCATATTAGGTTTGGTTTTTCAAATTTGGTTATTCAAATATTACACTAACAAATTTTTTTTTGTTCCTGGGTAGTGTTATTTTCTGATTGCTTATGCCTCAAAAGGACAGAAAAATGGCTTATTTCCCATAAACTTTGCTTTTGTGACCAGGACACAAACGCAAAGTTAATAATCCACCCCATTAATAACACTAACAAAACAAATTGTTCCTGGGTAGTGTTATTTCCTAATTCCTTATGCCTCAAAAGTACAGAAAATGCCTATTCCCCACAAACTTTTGTGACCAGGACAGTGATATTTTGAAATGTACCTATTTTTAATGAGAAAACGTGTGCATGTGCCATTCCTTCCCATATAGTCCTGTTCACAAAAGCAGTTTGTCGGGAATAATAGCCATTTTCTATACTTGAGGCATAAGTAATTAGAAAATAACTTGTTTTTTTCGATTTAAAGCTTTCGTGACTGCAGGGATTCATCTTCTCGGTTCTTTCGGTAAAGTCACGTAAAATTATTTTATTATGTTTTATTTTTATTATTTTATTACTTCCCTTCTACGTGACTTTACCGAAAGAACCGAGATTATTTTTTTTATTCGTTGGATTGGCACGTCATGAACACTTTGCAGGGCATCTAAAATATATACCTTTACTGTGAAGTGATTTTAAACGTAATTCTATGATCCCATCTCTAATCTTATCTGATAAAGGATGGTCACTGCTGACGGTGAACAATTTCCTTTCCCCACGATATGATTTTAATAAACAGGACCCTGCGGGGTGGGCTGGTATGAATAATACTTAGTACCGGTACAGAGATATCGACCAGGTATAGAACAGAGATATCGACCAGGTATAGAGGAGTTAAAGAAAAAATTACTGTATTCTAGTGTAACGTTAATTAAAAGTGTTTGTTTTGACAAGAAACGCTGTGAGATTTAAAGACTCGTAGTCTTTCATTTCCAACACCACCCTCAACACCACCCCTCCCACGGACGGACGGACGGACAAACGGACGCGGACGGACGGACGGACGATATAATCTATTGGTGGTCTGGTCCACTTCGTTCCTACCAGTACAATTGTAATCACCGTGCACCTCTGCAAACAAGCAGCGACACGTGTTACCACTCGGAAACTGGATGGCACTCCCAGTACAAAAAAAACTACTTGGCTGTCGGGTGGTGGCGGGTTTAACGACACATCTATATTTACGCGATCCAACCAAAAACAACGATACTGGACACAATAAAAAGTTTGAAGAAAACTTTTTAAACGTAATTTTCAAACTCAAAGTGAACGTTTAAAAAAAGTTTTAAACATTCTCTCTCCGCCATAAAAAGTAGCCAATTTTAGCCGCGCTTTAGAATCGACTTGGGAGTTTAGTCGATGTTAATGTTAAGCGCGGGGTGTTTTGGTTATCATTATCGGGAGTTTTCATCTTCTTGGTTCTTTCGGTAAAGTCACGTAGAATGGAAATAATAAAATATTATTATTCTTTTTATTATGGAATATTAAAATAATAATAAATAATATTATTTTATTATTTCCATTCTACGTGACTTTACCGAAAGAACCAAGAAAATGAATCCCTGCAGTCACGAAAGCTTTAAATCGAAAAAAAATCGGGAGTTGTCGTTTCAGGCCGGGTCGATTTCCCACCGGCCGCTTGTAAACCCCCACCCACAACCAGCCACGTGGCGGCGTGGCCTCGGGCGATCTTGGTGATGCCGAGGCGGCGAGAGAGTCCACGGAGGAGAGGTGAAGACCAACACAAGCGTCACTGCCAAAAAAATACATCTCACTGAATACTGGTAGGAACCTCCTGGTTACACCAGCCCACAGGGGATTGTATCCGTCCGTCCGTCGTGCAGGGAGGGGCTGGGTGGGGAGGGTGGGGCTGGATGCGGAGGGGCTGGTCACACCGTGGTGCCCTTATAAAACTCAACGTTTAACCTACTCACGCCGGCTTGTGCTCGCCCTCACAGTCGGGCATATTTGCGGAATACACCACGCCGCCGTTGACCCTGGCCATTGACCGAGCAACCCAACGTTACTACCAGCTCCCTCCGCAGGAATGTGTTAGCCGCACCACCACCCCATGTGCTCGATGAAGATCGCGGCCAAGAAAAGCGAGGCATCGTGGATACAGGGGACCTGTTATAGGTGCATCTCTTCCCCTCATGTTTCTTGCATTTTTCTCGCGAGTGAACACATCCTGAACCATGCATCATAGGCTGGCAGTACACACCAATTAAGAAAATTGGTTTCTTTAGGCCACGTTGGATGTTTTTTTTTTCCATGGTCAAGTTCAACCGTGCCTCAGCACTCCAACCTGGGCTGCCTCTCATCCATCTTTGAAACTTGTCATGTAGTCTCGTGGCCACAAGCCTTCCCGACTGAAACTACTGTGCGGAGCAAAGGAGGGCCCCCTTGGCAAACGTCTTCCAGCATCTCCAAAACTCTCCTCGCCAGTCGTTTCCCTGGCCCCACCTTCTCATCAGCTCAAGAAACCTCACGACAGAGCTGCACTAGTTGCCAATGCGCGAGCTTTCAGTTCAGGGCAGCCAGTACTCACTTTTAAAGCAACAACAACCCTGTCGACAAACTTAGCGGAGCAATGCCATCCACCCATATGTACCAACACGAAATCTGCTGTCACCTGGTATGGACCTACCATGTGCGATATATCCACTTGGGTCAGGACAGCAGAAACGGAGTTTTTCCATCTGGAGCCCACGTGGTCTGGAACAGTGGGCCAATTGAAGTACACTCAGGCGTGACAATTGGCACTTTCAAGACTGGACTAAAAACATTTATTTTCTCTTCGGGTTAGATTAATTTAGCGTAAATGTTCTCGGTACCATCTGTGCTTCAGGTTTTTTTTGTCAATCAATGTAGAATTGATTGATTCGCTGTCCACCTTCAATACATGGCCTTGCCCAAGTCCACATCGCTGTGTTTTCCACTACAAAGTTCACTCTGGGCATCCAGAGAACACGAGAGAGGTCGACTCGAAATATAAAGCAAACACAAAGTAAACGTGAAGTATCAACATCACATTAATCAGCACGCACATGCACACAATAAAATAAAAGGGCATGACGTGTAATGTATTGCGTTGTTACGTGGGACAAACTTTATTAGAACCTTTTCAACAAGTACACAAGTGCAACAATGACAAAATAAATGCAAGATGTGTATCAGGCCGTGTTCACAATGTACACAAGCAGCTGTCATACACATGCAATAAACAAATTAATTAAAATAAACCCTGATACAGGTTCCTTCACCACTCCTTCGTCTCAGTAGAAACACCTCACCCCCAGCACACAGAAGGCAGTTTAATTTCTCTATACAAACCCGAGGCCAGAAAGAACGACACTTGTGAAACACTCGATGGACAGCAGCCAAGTATTTGAGATTGTGCAATTTGTTTCATTAAGCTGTGACGACATTTAAGGGCATATCAGTGGTGGTACGGAACATTAGGTTTGTGAATAAGGCATGATCTCAAATATCGGCATGCAATTGAGTGACAATTTCTTCCATGTTTTATGGAAAAGTGGCCACATTGTCCACACTGCCCAACTTCTGCCTCTGCAACTCATGACGAGCAATCAGCTTTTACCCATTTTGGAAATTAGCTCATCGCAGATCCTCGTCAATTCTTCTTTATCGTGAATCTGAAAGAGAAATTGCATCAATTTAGAGTTACAATTGAATAAGCTCATAGAATAGTCTTAGCCACTGATGTAGTCAAATAGTTCTCCTGGATAATTTCTTGAGACGGAACATCTCTTTTGGAAGGGTTGTGCTCGGTGCCAATAGACACATTGCAAGCACGTAATGCCACGTATACAAATAGTTTCAATCTATAACCTACGGGATGCATTTATATAATGTATATCGCACCCAGTTAAACTTTGCAAATTTCCCCCTGTAGTAGCATGCAAACAACTACAGCCTCATTTGGAATAAAACACCTGTGTCTAAGAACTGCAGTAATAAAGTCACGCGACTTACCTTTTGCTTCAAGCTGACTTCTAGGGATTGCACCTTCATCTGCTCTTTGCGCAGGCTGGCGTCCAATGCCAGGCACTCGGTGCGCGCCTTGTTGCGCACTTGAGCTATATCCTCGTTCGCCCTGCAAGGCAAGAGGGCAGCAGTCAGTAAAAAAATTAACCCGTAAAAACAAAGTTTTTCACTATAAATCCTTTATATGCGTGCGGCTAGTGTCCTCTCGTCCTCTGGCTTGAGATGGCTGCCACCTATGGGTCAGATGATTGCCTGCCACCATTAAGCAATTGGTAATTAAATGTAATTTTTTTTCACCTAAAAAGTGTAACATTTTGGAAAAAAATTTTCAGGAAAATAAATTGTCACGCACAACGAGTCTGTGTGCAAAATGTCAGCTCGATTGGATCACGGGAAGTGGGTTAAAAAACGACCGAAAGATTTGGACGGTCGTAAGTGCGCAAGCAAGCAAGTGAACTTAATATAAAGGATTTAAAAAGGCCTCGCAACAAAGACATAGCCACGGAAGTCGCAGACACACAGTCACAGATGAGAGGAGCGACCACTGTATGCAGTAAAGTGTGCCGCTGTGTAACACGGCAAGGCGTAGCGCAGTGTAGTATGGTGTGGCTGGTAGTAAGATTTATTGTGGCGAGGGCATTATGGCATAGTGTGGCAATGCGGTATGATATCGTGTTGCTGCAGCGTCTTTGTGCATGGCAGTACTTGTTGATCTTCTCCTCGGCATGCGCCTTGAGCGCCTGGTACTTTTGTTCCTCCTTCTTGAGACGGATCTGGGCGTCGTGAGCATACTTTTTCAGCACTTCCTCATTCTAAACATGGAGGGTGAGAGAGTGGGCAGAATGTGAAGGAGGACTCGGAGCAGGGATGGAATGGTGAGAGGGAGACTGTCTCAAGTGACAACACCTCAAAGTTGTGAACATAACAATTTCAAGGAAATCCTGAGTGGTACTTTAAATAGGTCACCACGCGGACAACAAGAAGACATGACAATATAATTAGGCTCTGGTAAAACAATGCAATCCCTAGGTCACACGCACCACCTGCCCTTGACAGGGAATCGTTGTTGCTGAATATTTAATTGAGCACTGTACTGAATAATTGAAATCCGAGTATGCGAGTGTGATCTGTAGGAAAGTGGCCGACCTACTGACGAGTTTGTTGGGAGTTTAGATGCTGCAAACAGTCTGCGAATGAGGTCTCCCCAGACCAGGCAATGTAACATATAACAACGCACTGCCCTGAACACAACTTGGTAGGAGGCACACCAAAACTACACAACACTCAGGATGATGCAATTCAGCGGTTAACATACCTCAAATTGACCATCTAATTCAGTGGTTCTTAACCTGGGGTGCACGCACCCCCTGGGGGTGCGAGACATGGCCAGGTTTTTTTAGAAGGTAAATCATCAAAACACGAATTAAGCACGGGCACGTTAGCACTACTTTGTTTCATCAAACCTATGTAAGTATTAACATTATAGACTTTTAACGATTGATAACCAAAGGGGTGCAAGGCTACAATAAATGTTAAGAAACACTGATCTAATGCTTGCCCTATGTCAGTCATGTGAAGTAGTAGAAGTAGTCGTAGTTGCTTGATAATATGAGCATCATTCTATTGAAGCAACTTCCCCCTGAACCTCTCAATGGATTCGCAGTCAATGCCACTGGTTGTTCTTTTCCCTTCCCACAAATATTGAAATTATACAGTGATAATATAGAGTGTAAAAACTGAAATTTGCAACCAAAAACAATTAATTCAGGAAACATCTTCCCAAACCATAATCTGGAATAACCAATTCAGGCTGTAAAGTTGAAGCAAAAATAAAAACAACAATTCTCTCAAATCTACAAACACAAGAACAACTAATTCTGTGCATGATCTGCATTAAGTTTGCAACAGACCACTATCTGCAAAAAAAACATGACATTGTAATAAACATTGTACAGAATAAAGGCATTTAGAAAAGCTGAATTAATATCATCCAATTGCTTGGCCCTGCAATTAATCATGACACATTCAAATTGCTGGAGCAAAATTGTACCCGCGAGAGGCCGTATAGCAAATTGGCCGCCGACTTATTTGCGAGCGGGGTGGTGGGGGGGGGACAATTCTGACCTGCTTGAAGCCTTCCATGACCTTCTTAATCTTCTCGTAGCGCTTGAAGAGCTCCGAGAGAGACTTCTCCACCGAGTTCAGGTCCGCGAGTGCCTGGTCCTTCTCGCTCGTCAGCTGCTGCACAGTGCGCTCGAACGCCGCCTTGCCCCGCTGCTCGTCCTCTGTGAAAGAGGCCACACGTGGCCTTCGTTAAGGCTTACGACTTTGGCAGCGAGGACACGCGGGTTACAGACGTTGCTCATTTTAAGTCTGAAATCTTGGAAATTCCTGTGGAAGTCCATTCGATTAGGCACGACTTTTCTTTGTTTTGTTTGAAGAATGCAAACAAATTAACAAAATTCCTCAAATTTGCCACTTGATCTTATGTTTAATAAAAAAATGGTTATGTAAATGGTTTTATAACATGAACATATATTTATTGATAATAAAATAGAAGATAATTTGAAGGCGGGGTTACCGCCTTGCCTTAACTATTACATTTATATGAAGTGTTCTTTTTTCACACCTCAGCCATGAACTTTACTTAAAGTTACGGTGCCAAAAGCAGTCTTAGTCGTCAGCACCACGTTTGACACAATAACACAGAGGCCCAAACTGTTCTAGGACAGCAATGATGGCAAGAGCAGAATAAGAAAGACATTACTGACAGGAACAAGCTAATGCACTATTCTTCGGTTCTTTCAGTGAAGTCAAGTAGATAAAAAATGATAAAATTCAATTTTTTTTTTTATAAAAACCAAAAACTCACGACGTTTCGATCGCAACACAAACGGTCGTCATCAGGCGGAGAGAAGCTGCACTAGTTATAAGGCACAGGTCGCGTTGCCACTACGTAGGTTTTCGTGGTTGCGTTGTGTAGCTCTGATGTATTGTCAGTTTGTTCAGCTTTTTGTTTCACGTTTTGTTTTATGCTGGAAGCTTCTTGAGAATAGAGCTACAAAAGTGAAATTAATGTTGGGTCTTCCGATTATATTTTTTTCGACAATGCTTGAGTCACATCCACTACCCTCAGATCTAATTCCACCACCTCCTTTAATCTCATCCTCTGTCTCTACTCCCTCCTGCCCTGCACTTGTAGCATCTCTAGAGGCCTTCTAAACAATTGTATTGCCTTTTCCGCTTCTCAATACATGCTGCACTAGCACTTTAGAATGTCTTTAACACAGCCGCACTGTAATTAGTTACGACAGTGAGGTTTTACACACACACAGACTTCTCAAATCAAAAGATGCATGCCAATTACTTCCAGGGGGAAGAGAGTCTCAGCACATGATGGACCTCACCTGCAGCCTTGCACAGCGTGCTAACTGATGGAACATTACCACCCCTTTAATAGTCATTACATCTTGGCAACACTCTGATGGGGCTCCTGAAAATGGTGTTTTATCGTAGGAAGGTAATGACATGCAATAGAATATTGGTGTATTTAAATACATCACGAAGTTGCGTTACGTTTCCAAACCAGTCAATTATAATATGTATTTTTGGGCATGCAGGTGCAGATAAGTAAAACGCCATAGACGGTTTCGAATGCTCCTGCAATCTCGTGTTCACATTCTAAAGATGATTCTCTTATCCATTACAGCTTCAACAGTGTTGTTTGATCCTGGCCACTCAGTGTTTTCGGTCCTTTCAGCTGGTACTTAACACCATGCTTTGAAAATATGCAGCCTATGTTCTAAACCACTCAACGGTTATATTAATGTATCTGTGTTGCAGGTTTCTCTTCAAATGGAAGCATAATTTACACATGAATAAAAACTACTGGTTGCAATGTAAAACTGGAATCGAGCTTTTCAAAGGGAATGGAGTTTGGAAATCTATCGATTGTGTAACAATAATCCAACAATTTATTTTGTAAACGTTAACCACACTGCTATTATGAAAATGACTAAAGCTGGATTAAAGCTATATATTTCCAGAACAGTTTCCCATCCAAATCTGACTGCAATGTGACTGCAATTTATTATGCATTTTATTTCAATCTGAAAGCTGCTAGTAAAAGATCCAAGTTTCATGTACCAATTTTAAATAGAAATAAATAATTAAAAACGTACCCATCATCTGCGCCATCGCCACTTCATACTCCTTAAGGAGTTTTCTGAAAGACAGGAATTGGAAATGTTAACCATTTGCAAATGTATGCACCTCTTTTTAAATTATTCCAGCATTCAATTTGAAATTAAGCTAAGACTGGAGGTCCTCACCTCATTGTCTCCAGCTTCTCCTCAGCTTCTCCGCATTTCTGTTTCCACACGGTCGCTTCCTGATCTACAGTAACATTCTACGGAAAACATGAGCTTCATTTAGAAATCCATTTCCCAGCGGAGGCCAAACCGATGCTTCCATTTAACATGCATTTCTTGTTGCGTGCAGAAGAGCAGCATAACATGTGGATGCTGTATATCAACTTTGTGAGCAACACCAAATGGAGAAAACACATCAATGTAATTGTGCTAGTGTATCACATCCATTATATAACCAGTGACACTGTTTACAGATACCACGCAGATTACCTCTTTCAGTCAGGCTTAAACGATAGCCAAGTCATGCTGACACTGCTGAATGAATAGACTGCACTTATATACGCAGCGAAACAAACACATGAATGGTTCGGACCAATACAAATTTTCCAAATCAAACACCAAACTGGTCTGCATATTTTACTCACTTTAGGCAGGTGTTTATCACACATATCCGGTACAAATGTTGTAGAATTTTATATTTGAATGCAGGCTAGGGGTGGAACGGTGAGACCAGTGGTTAGCGAACTGCGCTACGAACCCAGCACTGGGCCGCAATTCGATTCCTGGCCACGGCTGACATCGTGATGTATCTGCCTGTTACCAACCTAGACAGACCACACGGCGTGGTGACGTTTGGTCCAACATCCCCCACGGCCGACGTGGCGCCACGGGGAAGCATTAATTCAGCAGTGGATTAACAAAGGAATGTCAATGTTAGCGGGGAAGCATTAAATCCAGCACTGGATTAACAAAGCTGCTGTCGATGTTATTTCAAATGAGAAGTATGGCTTTTGTGTGGTGTACAGGCAGGCGTGTTGCCAGCACCTTGTCCCTGGCTGCCTTGAGCGCCGTGTCCATGTCGCGCTGGCTGTACTTGAGGACGTCCACGATCGTGTCACCATCCAGAGCGGCGGGCGTGCTCGCTACCCTCTCCAGACACTGCCAGGTCAATAAAAAAACAAACGCAAGAGCGGTAATACGGATCAATACTGTGCCTTGCAAATGGCAATCACAACAGAAGTGAAATGCCACCAGTCAAGTACAGTGGATACACAAGATATGCCGCCTCATTGTACACTTGGCTCAGGTGAAGGTCGACACGGGCATTGTGTTCTTCAAGGTATGCGCCTGGCTTGCTGCGTTGCGGGAAACACATCGTGGAAAAAAACTAATAAAAAGATACAACGGTGCCACTGTTGTGATTCACGATGTTTAAACTGACGACGAGTCACATGCCTTGATGAACAACAAAAACGTGTTAGTGAATGCAGTGCTCTATAGCTTGTGTTAAAAGTACACCATTAGATCTATGGACAGCCAAACATGCCCATTCACCTCACCACATCTTTATAAACCAACCAAGATAGTTTAAACAAAACTCATGTATAACAACGGTTTACTGAAGCTACCTTAAGAATGCCACGGAATCAATTACTGCAATCGTAAATTAAGGTTATCTTCATTAGTAACGTTTAGTGCAGTTATGTCAATACAACACTCAAAAGCATGGACAGAGTTGCATTGTAGCTTTGGCACAAGACGGATAACATCACAATGGTGCGAGATCCTTAACAAAGCTCACCTGTGAAACCTTATCAGGTGATACGGAGAGCAGATCCACCTTCGCTGCAGCCATTGCACCGGCCACACTTTGTCCGGATACCGCAGCCTCTTCACTGGGCCTGCGTAACACGCACACACACACACACGTACAGACACCGAGCTTTAGTGGAAGACCTCCTGGGCAGGCGGCACCCATTCACGCAATGTTTTATCTGTTTTTTAGTTAAGTTTGCTTTTTTAAGTTAGACTGTTATCGTTTTGTTCTTTGAAAAGTCGACACAATGTTATCCGTTTGACAAGAAAAGTGCACTGCAAACACACCACCATACCTAACACTACCAACATGACTAATTAGCGTAACAACAAAATAAATATAATCAGCAGCAGCCCACCTCGCAGAGAAGAAACAGGCACAGGTGATGCACGCTGCATTGAAATCAGATAGCAGTAGACGACCAGGATAACCGTGAAACCTTGAATTCCATCGGTGGAACAACACCACCGGATGAGCGTTATGATACACTGTAGTTTTTGGAGTTTGGCAGCAAAGCAAGAACGGCAGAGCTGAGCTATAGGACCACACCCAACCACCACGCATGGAGCCACAATTCTCAAATTGCACCCCCAGGTGCATTCCATACCTGCCTGTGGCTGCAGCATTAAAACTAACAATCGTAGTTCGGTTATACTGAAATAATACTCCTCGCATAACGGCCCGTTTTACATTGTAGGTTTGACACTCGAATTATATCATGAGGCTGGACAGGCACAGTTTTATCTAATCAGCGCCCGTCAAGGGAAATCGCATTCCATTGTGTAGAAAACTACTGCAGGGAACTTTATCAGATGTCACAAATAAAAAAAGGGAGTTAACTGACACATGGGAGCCAACCAATATTCACACCGAGTGCCAAGTCTTCTTTCGGAGTAAATGTGGTGGACAAGATGAGAGTACAATGGGTAAAGTTAATAAACTGTATACAATTACTGTGCTGCACTCTGTGGCATTAACAAGGTACTGCATGTATCCGTTACAGATTTTTACTTCTATGGACCTCATCTATGACCTCATCTCTGGCTCTCACTCCCAAACAAAGCCAGTCTCAGGGACTACCATTAATGTATTTAAAAATCACATTGTCAGGCAAATTGTGTTTTTTTATATTTAATTAATTGGTATGGCTATTATCATCATCATCATGATTTAGTCAACAATTCTTCCGGTTTTAAAATTATATTTTTTAACTGTTGTAGACTTGCGGGTTTATTACCGTTTATGGATTGTAAATAGCCTTCAGACAACTTGCGATTAAAGGTGCTCTATAAACTTGTTACATGATTACTATTGCCATTGTTAACGGTTGGGCAGATTGTTCGACGACGACTCTACAATGGGTGGAGTTCACTGCACAATTACATCATGGCTTGGAACATGTTTTGATGGCCTCATTCAGATGACCTCATGTCTATAACACGTGACAACGCCAAGTATTGATTCATAGCGTAACTGTACTTTGTTTTACAGTGTTGGTGCGTGTGTATTTCATGAGAAACATTCGGTAGTGCAGTTACAGTTCATTATCCAACAAAAAGTACATGGGCACACAAGTGGTGAAAAGTAAGAGGGGGGGGGGGGAGGAGGGTATAAAACAATTTGCATACAAGCACTTTTTTTCCACAGCGTCAGGATTCCAAAGAGTTGAGCACGCTCCAACGGGCCACGGGGCGATGGAGTATTGCTTGTTACGGCACATTTTATTCAACTGCAAAATGGGATGTTGTCACAAAGTGTAATGTGTTGTGGCACACACACCCCCTATAACCTCAAGGTCGGTCACCTTTCCAACACGCAATAATCCACGGAACACATAATGACTACAGCAAGCATGCATGTGCTGAAGACAAAGGCTACATTATGGGCCCCTTGTGGCAAAGCAAATAAAAGCATTCAAACTAAACTATTTTTCTTTTAACAGGTAAGGCCCACAGAGCTGTGTCGATCTTTTGTTCAGGAGGGACCTACCCACAAATGATAGCTCAACAAAGTGGCTTATCACATGGAAATGTATAGCAGCCGAATACTCTAAACGTATGTCAATTCTAAATGTGGAGGGAAAAACCGGAGGACCCGGAAAATAAGCAAAGCGACCACGGGGAGAGAGAGGAGAGACACGCAAACTCCAAATACAGGTAGTCCTCTACTTACGATGGAAATGCGTTACGACGACCCCATCATCGTAAGTCAAAAATATCGTAAGTCGAAGATGGCCTAGCCTACCCAGGAGTCTTATAGAATGGTGATAATTTAGCAAAACAGAGCTATATACAGTACCGAACTGTATAAACTATATACTGTATGTATTTATTAATTACAATACTGTATTGCACAGTAAAATGTAAAGTAAAAAAAAACAAGGTAAATTCTTAGCCTAACGATATGAACTGCAATTTAATAAAGTTTTTTAGGAATAAAAACTTTTAACATGCATTGAACGTATCGTTCGCTGCTGCGTTTGCCTGCCGCGCGAAATTTAAAATATTTTACAATTTTGTCAGATCGCTATCGCCATAGGTAAAATCGAAATATCGTAAGTCGGACCATCGTAACTTGGGGACTATCTGTATACAACAGGTGTCAGGGTTGGGATCGAACCCTCGACCTCCTGCATACCAGGCGAGGAAGTTAACATCTCCTAGCCACCGTGGCACCCCGCATTATAAAAGCACACAGTGAATGAACAGCATGGTGCACGAAGGGCAGTCCCTGTTTCTCTAGCAGAGAGGGGGGCACAGAAACCTGCCTGTCATTCTGGCGCCTCTTGGTGACCGGACGAGTAGAGGCCTCGAGGTCGTCTGCCAGCAGTGGGTCAAACTTGACGTAGAGCGATTGCTTCCTCAAGTCCGACTCTGTGAAGCCACTCTGCACACAAAGACAAAGATCCCCCGTATAGCCTTAACAGACTAAGGAGGTGGGTGGCCAGCACCACTCTGCACACAGTGCACCAAATCAGCAACAACAACAAAAATCCAAGAGAAAAACGGATTAATAACAAACTTGGTGGAATCAAACAGCAGCTAGGAATGATGTGTCCGTGTGTGCGATGGTGTTCACGCAGCCTGCTGGGTGAATGACTGTGGGAGCCGGATGGTAACACGCGGCTGGTGCTAGAATTAGTGACCGCAGTGCAGTGCCCACATTAATGTGTTTAAAGGATATGATTGGTTTAATTTAAAATAGATTTTTAAGATTTGTCTGAATGTAAACAACTTAGAACATGTATGGCTATAATCTACACATGTTGTGTACCCTAGCATCTTGAGATACTGCTGGATTTAGATGCTATGTAAATATAAGAATTCAAATTTGTGTCAACTGCTTAACAAGTTATACTAAACACTAAGCTTACTAAAAACAACACGCTCCAAACACACCAATGCTTCATAGTAAGATTTATTTTTCAACCAATTTGAACTAGCAACAGGTCTTGCTTAACTACATTAAAAGGTACTATTATTCTTTACCTCATTTAGCCCTACCCAGTGTAATTTACAACACCAAACGGCACTCTCTCTCTCCAAACATGACTCACAACACACGGGGCTTTGTCACAGGGTTTTTTTTTTGAACAGATGACGTAATTGTACACAAAAATCACCATGATCTGACAAAGCCAAACTGCCGCAGCTGGCGTGAGCAATAAATCAGTCGTCCAACCGACTGCACATTGTAACGCCCGATCACGTCTCAAGCCTCACACCCATTTGTTGCAGTCCCATCTGGCCGTGTGCCGTGTGTGCGGGCGAATTACCATTCCGAACTGCTCCAGGTAGTCAATCTCCAGCATCTGGCCTCCGCTTGGCATGGCTGGGGCGCCCGATGCCTCTGCTCGTTTGCCTGCTAGCGAGCCGCATGGCGGGGGGAAGGGGCGCAGGGTAAAGGCACATGAGACTCACGGACCCGGCAGCCAGATGCGGGTACTGCCAGAAATCTCCGAGCTAGCCGAGTCACCGGTTCTGAGCATCCCATGAACATGAATAAGTGAAGAGGCCATCATATGAGTGACGATCACGATTACTCTGAAGAGTGACATTAAGGGCTCCTGTTGTACTTATTTTCCCTGTGTTGACAAAATAACGTCATTGAGACACATTCTAAAAGCCTCGGCACCAAACCGTCCCTGTATTCAGGCAATTTTAGTGCCAAGACGACACTCATGCTGAACACTTGCCAATAATTAACCATCGGTTAAACATCCGCAAACATTTGTCATAGAGCGGAACAACTCAAATAATTAAATGATACAATTTAAACATCAATAGCTGCGCAAAACAAATACAGAGGGAAGTGACCTAAGTGCAATTAAAAACAAGTTGCCACTATTACGGGTACCCGTGTATTTAGCAATGATAAATGAGATTCACTGTTGCCTTGGGTCCAAAAGGTCTTAAAGCAAACTAGTGGCCCATTCAAAGACTTCTGCTCCCGAGTGTAGCTCAATAAACATTTCGATGCACTAGTCATGCGCTCATCGCTGCATACAAGACATACACATTGCTTTTCTAATGAACATCAAAGCTCAGAGACCACTATTAAATTCCATGGCCAAGAGCTTGTTTCAGGTTTCTAGACAGTACCTCCAACAATCAGCTCCCCTTGCTGCAAATGTAGCAGTTAACATTTACACAATGGCACATGCAGAACTTGTATTCTGCAAGCTCAATACAAGTTATGCAGCTCTTCAAATTAAACAAGGCCAATTTGCACATTACTAAATAATCAGATGCTTTTTGTCAAATATTAGTATTAATAATGCTGAATCAAAATCGAACACTGCAATATAAACAAAACGTATTTTTCACGACAATAATTTACAACCCTTTGTCAATTCACTGCTGGATAAAGGCATTCCTTCCCACAACATGCCAGTTGTGGGAGTTATTTGATCATACTTCACCAAGATGGTCAAGATGGATTGGGGAAAGGTGGGGGAAGCAGGAACGGATCAGATGTCACTGGCTACCGATGCTAGCTATGGCCATGACTAAAGCAGAGAGGTCACTGGAATTATAAGCAAAGTGTGCGAACCACTGCTCTATGGCTCACCCCCTCTTAACAATAATTACTTAGAGAAAACCTTACAGGCTTAATGCGCTTCTTGAGGCGGGTCCTGCTTAGAATGTCTGACCAATTACTTTGAGTGTTAAAACACGTGACGTAAAACTGAAGTTTCCTGAAATACGAGATGACCGATTATCCGGAGACGGTAACAATCCAAGAACTGTTGACCTTTAAGGATGGCCGCGACTTTGGGGGAGAGCCTTCATCCAGCAGCTATTGCTCATGAACAATCCAAACCCATCACACACTCCTTACCCTACCTCGTTGCACCACCTCCCTCTAAATACAACCTCTTTCCCACACGCTAAAACAAAACATCAAACCAAAAAGCTTTTCGGGGGAGGGCAGCGGGGGCAGTACCAGGAGCGGGCGATGCATTTCCGTTTCTCGTGGCGCACAAGACGGCCTCGTCCTGCCGGGCGGCGTCCGGGGCTCCCGGCGTGGTCTCTGCCGAGTAACCGTCGAGCGAGAAGGCCGTGGCTTTGGCGGCGGCCGACGACGCGCGTTGCATTTTCTCTTCGTCCGTGGCGAGGGCTGCCACCGCTGCGTCGGCATCCAGGTCGAGGGCTGGGTCCTAGGGCCAGCAGCAGCAGCAGCAGCAGAGAGTGGGGGTGTACAGTGGCACGATGTCGATGAGACGTGTTCACATGTGGGCGGCCATATGCGCAACGAAATATCAACAACTGTGTTGGGCGGTGCTCATCTCCAACAGTAAGCATTGAAGGAATGTCACGGAGTTATGGCTAAGGGCCATCCTCTAGACTGCTGTACAACAACAACAACGCTGAATTATAATAAGTGTAGTATTTATCAAGCTGCAGAACAGTCGTTATTAGCATACTGGACTATAAAGGTTGCAATCCGAGATTAATTCCCAGCAATGGCTAACAGCGGGGGCCAGTGATACGTAAACTGGTTCGTGGCACTGGACATGAATGTATGTAGCCAACCGTGCTATCAATGACCAGCATGGTGAAGTATGGTCAAAACAAACTCCATGGTGAACATGGTATTGAAATTCCTTAATCCTTAATAGTTTTCCATAAAATGTATTCACTATAGGTGGGGCTGTTTGTAGATGCAATGCCAATTCATGTTCATGCATCAGACATTGTAAACGAAATGAGAAAGGTGTGGGGAGAGTTTGTTCGTAGAATATACCAAGGCATATGAATTCAGTTTTCTAAGAGAGTCCGTAGCCCACTGAAATAACGAAGCAATTAGAGAAAACAGCATTTCATCTAAAAACACCCTCTATGTATTCAGCCAATCTTAATACAAATATTAAAATCGTTTAACTTTCCTCAACGATAGGGACCCATAACATTCACGATATTCCATCTGTTGAGAAGAAAGTCAGAGGGTCATTTGAAATGGGTAGGGTATCTACAGATGGTTCACCTCTTGCACATCTGGAAATCATCCTGCACACGTGATTAACAACCATGCAAGATACCTGCCCCCAAACACAATATAATGTTCATCTGCACTGGGGCGTGTATTCTCTTGGATAAACATTCAAAACTCGCGCAGAAAATATATACCTGGGCGTTGTCGGAGGTGGTCGACGCGTTCCTGAACCGGTTCTTCACTCGGAATGTAGCTCTGCTGACACAGTAGAATTCATGAGCCTCATATCCCTCACGATAAACTACAACTGTGCCCTCATCTCCAAACCACTCTCCACACCCGTACACTCTTATCATGGGAAAGTGAGTGTGCGCGTCTGTTTGACGGTCGATTTGAAGATAAATAGTTTCGGACGATACTGGTGCCGAGGGCAAAGTTGTTTCCCCCCCCCCCAGCCAAACCGAACCGTCAAGACGCTTAAACATAGAGCGGCACTGAACGGAACTTTACGACGAAAAAACACAGAAAGGCATTGGTTGCGAGACAATGACATGGTGACGAATCCAACAACGCACAGTATCTTCTTACAAAGCGTGCTGTGTGCACGAGTTAACTTCGTAAAAGCAAGATATCACCAAAGGCAAAACGTCTTGTCTTATAAGACAAACCGCACAGCACCACATATGGGCCTAACTTTCATATAGGCAAGCCCTTTGTGTTCTTCACACGCAAGCCGGTTGCTCGAAGGTAATCATCAATTGATACTTTTGCTGATTAGGGCTTTTGATTTAGAACCACAAATGTTAATCGGTGCTGAAAAAAAATCAAGGGTGTCCTTTCAATGATGGCATTTCTCTCTTCGGTATAAATCGAGGAGGAAAAAAGTGAGCTGCTCTGATTAGTTCCTGAACAAGCCTTCCAGGACGTGGAGCGGAAAAAAACATCGGACACCACCATGCCGAACAAAAATACGCGGGCACAACTCGGAAACACATCAGCAGGAAACGGGTGCTCCTTTTGTGAACAGTTCACTAAATTGAGAACCAAAAAAATTAGGTAAAAAAAAATACCTTTGCAATGCACACACTTTTATTCGCATTGGGATCCCAGGATGGAATACGCATTATACATTTGGATTATTATTATTAAAAGTAGAAAATAAATGCTTTAGACCCTGGAATTAATCAAATGTTGAAGTGCTCAATAAAAGTAGGGTGGCTCGCATAAAGAAAATTAAACACATCGAAAGGAAACAACCCATTTTTGATTAATTCCGGGTTCAAAATAATGCATTTTCTACTTTTGAGTGCAAATAAAAGTGTGTGTGCATTGCAAATCTTGTTTGTTTATTACCTAACAATAGTTTGGTTGTGGACTTGTTGGTCTCGCGCTAAGGAAGAAGAAGAGGGCAGTGCAGCGGCCGCTCCGGCGCCACAAGGAGCGGCGATAGAAGCACGCCTCTCATTGGTCAGAGGCTGGCCAGCAACAGCTGCTGTGATTGGGCCAGACGTTAACCGTCATAGGTGGACGCCATCATTTGTGATTTTTTTTTCAAAAGGGAGGGGGGGTGAAATGTACGATTATTAAGTAGTAAATTTGATTTTAAAACATCAATAGGACCACAATGGGCAGGAACCTGGACTGTTTTTTTCGTAATGAAATCTTGAATTGTCACGCGAGGCGGCGAGTCTGCGCGTGTAGAAAATTTCAGGTCATTCGGTTTCGTAGATCCGAAGACATTAAGCGTCAAAGATTCCAAAGAATATAAACAGACAAACATGGCAAGTTCAATGAAAGTGTGTAAAAAAAAAAATACGCAAAAAATTAACCCGCGTCCGAATCAATGGACTCACGATTTAATGACGGCTCTCTTCTTCTTCTTCTGTGAGCTCTTGGAGCTGCCGTCCTCGCCATCGCCCGACTCTGCCTCGCTGCCGCCCCCCGCCACGTCTCCCCCGTCGGGGGACTCGCGGTGAAGGGGCACGCCGGGCAGCTTGACGCTCGACGCCAGCGAATCCGCCGCGTCACAGTGTCCGCCCGCGTCGAAGGAGTGCGTCGCCTTCATGGGCACGGGGGAGCCGGGTAACTGCGACGTTGTTGCAAACGGATTAAAATTGGAGTCCTCCAGTTGGCTGAAGTCCATCATGTAATTGCCCTTTATTTGAGGTCCATTGCCAGCGGTAATTAAATTGGTATCGGACTTCTGGTTGGCTGAGAATCTGGATGGCTTCTTTACTCCGAGTCGCGCGGCACTTTTATCCGGAGATTTGTTCTTGCCTTTGGAGACGTCTCCACAGAGCTTCGCCGATCCCAGCGACGGCGAATACCCCGCCGACATGTCCTCCTCGCTCCCTTGCGACGACACCTCGTCTATCTCCTCGGTTCGCAGCGTGCCGTCAGACACGAGCGTTTCGGACTCTGTGGACTCGGCAGCTTCGACGCCGTCGAGCGGCTGGTCGCCCCGTGGCGTCTCGCTCCCTTCGACGCAGGCGGCAGGAGGCTCGCAGTCCTGCTCCTGTGAACCGTCCAAGTTCAGGCGGGAGGGTTTGAGCGTCTCATCAGCCTGGTCCGTCTCGAAACACTCCGAGTCGGAGGGAGCCTCTTGGTCGCTCAAATCGCCGACTCGACCGCCCCCGTCCTCCGAGTCATCGTCCAACGAAGCGTCTGAAAACGACAGCGTCCACTCTCTCGTCATGCGTCCCGCGAAACACCGAACTCTCCGCTCGTTTGCTCATCAATAAACAGCACGGACGTCACAGTGGTCACATTTCATTGACAGAGGATAATGACTCCTATTGACAATAACTTACATTGCACAGTAACCTATTTACCGATGGAAAATCAATTAACATTTCACGTAGAAAATGTAATAAACACGTTTAACATTTTTTTCTTCCTTTTGCAGTCCAATAAACTGTGCAGGAGAAAACACCAAGCCGCCAAAATTACTGTGGAAATTAAATAATCATTCTCAGATGCACAGTATACACAGTATTTTCAGGTTGCACTGTACAAATGTCTACCGTGGTAGAAAGGCTAAAAAGTTCATACAAAGTTCCCTAAACGAGACCAGATTTGCAAACCGTGCAAAATGTGCGGCCACCATTTGAGCCGAAGTCTCCGTAAACTACTGTAACAGAGGCTGTTAAAGTCAACTTTTGGCTCGCTTAGGATATTCGCCGAAACAACCATCACTGCGTGCGTTAAGCAGCCATAAAAGCACAGCACTGTACTGACGTGACAATGCTCCCACGTAAAACATTAATGTCACGCGCATTCTTACCAGCAAAGTTACAACCCGATTGTTGTTTGGCATTACGCGATGTCTGAAACAAAGCACCGTCCCAAACTGCACCACCTCTCGCTAAAAACAGAAGTTTTGCTCACACAGCAGCAGAAGCTCCCAATACAAAACATCACAAATGTTCACTGTACCACCACCCGCCACGCCAAGCACACGAGACGGGGGAGAAAACATCAAGACGACGCAGACGCCCACAATACGCGCAAACGATGAACCTCGAAACAGCAGAGCGCGACACAAAGTTGGTGAACAAACAACCCAAGACGACCTGCCGTGCCTGCGTGTGCGTGCGCGCAAAGTTACCCCTGAGCTGCTCCATCATTCCGCTTTCACCAACAGCTCCGCGAGTGCACGCGCGCGTCCACCGAAGACCGACTGACACGGGGGATGTGACATCAGCCTGCGCGTGGCCTCGCATTTCTCGTTTGACAGTCGATTGTCCACTGCCTCCCACGCCCTCTCCCCACCCCACCCACCCACCCCGCGCACACAAACACACAACACTGACCCGGCCCAGCCAGCCCCGCTACAAGAGGCTGCCAGCCGGAGCTGTAATGTCCAAGGGCGGAGGCGGGCCGCGTGTACACGCCCAGGAACAACGCCATTAATTATACACGCAGCGTGGCCTGCGCCTAATTATTCAAGCGTTACGCAATGTTACAAATTAGAAACGCAGCGGCAAACTCACAACGGCTCCGTTATGGCAAACTTTGTTATTGTTACACGATTTCTATTAACTCACTCTGTCTGTTGTTATTGTTGTTGGATCCTCAAATCTTGTAACTCAATTTTAACCCACTTCCCAATGTGGCATCGACTGCAAACTTGGTATACTTATGTCATACTGATGACAATACTATATTCTATCATAAAAAAACAACTTTAAACATTATTTTTTACATGTTATGTTTCGGCTTGGGTCTAATTGTCCACGCTCAACTGACGTTGGCTGTAAATCACGACAGCCACTGACGTTGTGGCAAGCCTCGGGGCCACTTCCTGGAGTCGTGGAGTTCTGCCATTACTAGTAGGGTACATTTCATGAAAGCGTGTTTAAAAAAAAGTTTTTTTTAAAAATATTACTTATTTTTTTTAAAGCCGTCGGTACGTAGTTTGTAAGTGAGACAAACACCTTTTTTGACATGTTTACATTACAATAATCACAACAGGACACCCAATTACCCGTTTTATAATTGTTCTATAAACGCACCAAGAAGTGCGTTTATAGAATGGGGCATCCACGTCATATTTGTTTTAATTGATAATTATTTAAATTGCACATCCAATGAAACGTGTTGTTTTATTTATAATTGTTCAATAACCACACACAACAACACACACACACACCAATGGTCTTGGCGATATTGTCACCAACACGAAATCAAACCGGTGCTTCATGGGACCGATATGGTCACCAACACGAAATCAAACCGGTGCTTCATGGACCGTACGTTCCTGGCGGCGTGGTTCATAGTTCACAAACGCACAGCAGCAGCAACAACAGCGCGTCGCCTTTCCTCGGGAGAGGTCTCACGGCGTGGATGTAAGTGGGCCCCAAACAGCGACATTTCCGCTTACGACACGCTTCGCACTCCCTGCACATGTTGCCCCGAGACACACAGACACACGCCTGCACGGTTACCAATTACCAGAATCTCTCTGTACCTTCGTTAAAAAAGAAAGAGAACACCGCATTTTGCGTTGCCACGACCACCTTCGAACTGTTACAAACTCGCTATCCCACGCGTGCGGGTGTCAAAACAGCCCTTTGTGTATCGATTATATTCGGACGAGGTGGATCGCGGCGAAAGCATAATGAGACTAAGGCGTTATACTGGTAGGAACCTCCTGGTTACACCAGCCCACAGGGGATTGTTGTGTCCGCCCGTCCGTCGTGCAGGGAGGGGCTGGATGGGGAGGGGAGGGTGGGGAGGGGTTGGGTGGGGAGGTTGGGGATGGGCTGGGTGGGGAGGGGCTGGGTGGGGATGGGCTGGGTGGGGAGGGGCTGGGTGTGGAGGGTGGGGAGGGGCTGGGTGGGGAGGGGCTGGGTGGGGCAGGGGCTGGTCACCCCGTGGTGCCCTTATAAAACTCAACGTTTAACCTACTCACGCCGGCTTGTGCCCGCCCTCACAGTCGGGCATATTTGCGGAATACACCACGCCGCCGTTGACCCTGCAGGCCATTGACCGAGCAACCCAACGTTCCCTACCAGCTCCCTCCGCAGGACAATGTGTTTTAAAAGCAGTGCTGCACTATGTTCGATGTCAATGCGTATAGTGTACAGACTTCATGAGCACGTTACCAATGTACAGCGCCCATTTATTCATTTGCCAGATGGAAGTCCACCAACACAAGCATGTCGTGTACCGTATAGAAATACCGTAACCGACACCTGGGCATCAATCGGACAGCCCGAGACAATCGGTGGCTTTGACTGGTATAACACCCTGTGCATTTTAGGGGTTGGCCTCGTAGAACCAAGCAATATCAGTGGTGCTCACTGACATATTAATTCCACAACAAAATGTTGCATGCAAAAACGGTAGAGGCTGAAGAAAAAACGATCAGAATCTGCAGCGTGCCTCCAAAAGCACTCTTTTACGCAACTGTAATCAGGGCGCACAGGTTATTTAACTCCTTTCATGCGCAATGTGACGCTTGCTGGCACCTACGCACCATGGAACCATCTACAGAGAGAAACTGACATCAATAATTCTGCACTGTATATACAGTACATTTACATGCGCACATTGATCAGTGCCACTGAAAAGGTGCAAAAATTTCGGCCCTTCTGTCAATCCACTGCTGTGTGAGTCCCTCCCCGTGCTGTGTCGGCCAAAGCGAGTGTCTGACCGTACTTCTCCACGTTGGTCAGAGCGGTTGGTGAAGGGCGGTGGGTGGGACCCAGAAATTGTTCAGATATCACCATCGGATGTTGGGATTCAAACTCGGGTCTCTGGATTCTCCGCGCAGTGTGCGAACCGCAGTGCCCAGACCTACACCACTGCCTCCGACTTCAGTAACATGTAATACCGTACACGCCAGAGTTCGTACAATCAGCGTTCCAATAATCTGCGAATCCCCTGGAATTTTGCGGATTATTGGCGGAAAGTGACTTTCCCCATCATCCGCGGCACACCGCTGCGGCCCGCAAACCGTGATCCGTAGCAGCGAGGAGCGGGAGGGCTAATGCAACGCTGTAGGGAAAGATGTATTTATTTATGTTGTGAGAAGTCAAGCAACGGGACTTGTTAAGTAGAAGACTTGGACGTGAATTTTTTTCTTTTAATTGAAAAAAATCCTTCAAACATAAGAACCAAAGTGCAGATTTTCACCATTTGGGTCTAAGAATATTTGTAACTTCGTAATCTGTGAATTTATCGCGGATTAATGGAATCGGGCAGCTAATTCCTCCAATAATCTGCGTCGGCGCTAAATCTTTATTGTGGATTATCAGTCCAACCTCCACGCTGTGCCACAGACTACAGGAACTACGATACGGTTCCCAATATCAACGGGGATTATTAGATTCCTGCTTTACTGTATTCAAACACGAGAGAGTTGTGAGAAATCGGCTGTAACAATTCACTAACCCCACCTAATGTTCAACAAGGGGAATTGCACATTCATGTTCTCGTGGTAAAAAACAAATGGGAATTTACCAGGTCACAACTTTCACGATTCGTTTTGATTTGCAATCCCGATATGGGGTCGTGTTCATTCACAAAGTATTCACGCATTTGAGGTACAGAGTATGAATATTTGCCACATGCGCAATCCTCATGTGGACACGTATGCACCAACTGTATATAAAATCATACGCGTTTGGTATGACATGCACATTGCCCTTCTCTCCATCTACCGGTGGACGAGAGCCTCCTCAGCGCAGGTTGGTGAAAGTGGCAAGCATAGACGGGGAAGCATAGAAGTACGGTACAACACAGGGCAGTCTCATGCATAAACTACGGCCGCTACCCAATTTCTCATGCCCACATTTGTCGGCCTTGATGCTTTGCAAATTTTAAATCCACGACGTGGCCATCGGTCATTGACAAGGTGCGGATGGCTAGCAAAGCTACACACAATCAGCGAGTGTTTTAAACCGACGAGCAGCGAGGGAAAGTTGTAAATACTTTGTAATGCGAAACAGATGGTAACCCTAGGGCGTGCGCGTCTGTCCCAACGCACCGGGCTGGAATCACGAAACTTAGCACAGTGAGGTTTTTGACTGCATGCCGCTTGTGCGTTGACCGTCGCTCAATCGTGTCGCGTCATTCAGACGAGACACAATGGGCAGGCCGACCTGAAACACCCCCCCGCCGCCGCCCCTTCCACCTATCTAAACAAGACCAGCGGTCAG